GTGGTATCAATGAAAAAATCGTCCCTTGACAGTTTTTTTTTGCAGGATTAAACATCTAAGATTGCCTGAATTTTGATATACAGTAATTCCTCAATTATCTGTATTTTGATCTTCTGGACTTTGATTATGCAGACATAAAATGAAGAGAAAAATTGAAATCATTTGAACATTTCAATGATTTCTTTTCAGATAAGCATTTTGAGAATTTAGAAAACCATATACAGTGTTCAAAATTTCATTTTCAAACACCAAGTCAATAATTATGCTTAACAAATGTTTAAATTGATTATGCATTTAATCAGAAGCTACTCTAACAAATATATCTACTTTAATCCGGCTTCAAGAATTAATGACATAAAAATGTGAAGCCAGCTGGAAACAGACAAAATTAATGAATTTTTTTCAACAAAAATAAACTTGACAAAAACATTGAACAGAGAGTTTGTAAATATACTTTGATGATATAAATGTTAAATTTCTTTCAGAAAATTATTTTTCCTTAATTTTTTTTTTCAATAATTTAGGTATTCAGTTGTCAGATATTTTGAATTATCCAAACATATTTCAATTTTGCATATGATAGTTTTTTTTAGTAGATGATGATTACTGACATTAACCCTCTACCTTGAGTGGTTCTTGGGCCTTGTGTTGGGTGAACATTAGTAAAAATAATAGGCAAGCCTAATCTAGTAGTGACCAAGTTTTAAATTCATTGTCCTCCTGATTTACTAAACTTGGCTTAGATGTGATAGAAGACAGAAAGTATGGAGCAAACGTTGAAGATCAAAATCACTGCTCGGTCATAACTGTTCTAGTGAGAAAAACTTACTAACCATTACACCATGTTGAAGTGCCCAAATTCAGAATTGTCCTTCTCCTAGACTGGTCACCAACCTAGGCTAAAAAGCCCAGTTTGCCATACTGTTTAAACCATAGTTGGATGCAGAAGTGGTGGAGTGATACCATTCCCATGGTTATGTGTGTGGATGTGGATATAACTTGGTTCACCAATTTCTTGTTCTGAGCTTCTCACTAACTGCACAGCCATAATCTTGAGAAATTTAATACTCTTTAGTTTATAGAAAATCACAATTTTTCTAACCATTTAACATACCATTTTCCAATTTAGAGCTGTTGGAGATAGATTTTTCAATTTCTTTTTATTTCAAATGACTTAACACAAAGCAAAATTTATAGAACAATCAATGAGAAACAAACTCATCAGTTGCTTTTTAAAGAAGATATTTATTGAACTATACTAACTTTACAACACAGATTAGTAACCCATACAGATTGATTTAACGATCTATGTTTTGGGAGACGAGCATGTTAATGACTGCTTATAGTTAAGTGCTCTTTATTATAAATACATGTCAACTATTGTGGTTCATGCTGAAATGGTTGACATGATAGAAACACAGAACATGCTGAATCAGATGGCAATTTATCCTACAAAAAGGGATGCAGGCTTGTGAGCACAATTTCTTTATTGAATTTCTTGAATACATAGGCCAGTAGACTGTATAATTCACACTGTTTAAAAAAATAGTACATCAACTCAAACATGGGTATCCACAAAGAAACATTTAGAGTAGGTTATGTGCACAAAAGTGGATATAACAATCTTGGTTCACCAATTTCTTGTTCTGAGTTGCTCACTACCTGCACAGCGATAATCTTGAGAAATTTAACAATCTTCAGTTTATAGGTATTCAGTTATCTGATATTTTGAATTATTTGAATATTTTTTTTCAATTCTCTTCCAATCTGTCTGGGAGACATACTATATTTGTACTTTGTTTTGATATACTTATCGTATATGAAAGGAAATTTTTAAATGTGTTACAGTTTCTCCTGTTAGATATCTAGAGATTCTTGACAAAATCCAAAGTTAAGGATCTTTAATGTTACCAATCCTGACCTGGCATCTCAACCAAGCACTTTTTCACCACCATGATGTGGCCTCATTGTGCCTTTTCTTTAAATATTTTCTTGGCAATTGTTCTAATGACCTTTCTTCTTTGGTACTGCGTGGATTTAAGTTCAGTACTAGATTGGCAACTAGGTCTCATCATTTTAATGTTGAAATGGCTAAATGTAACCATAAGTTTTATTCTAATAGTTTCTTTTCTTGCACTTCTTGACTGTGGAACTCTCTTTTGGTTTCTTGCTACCCTGCCACCTATGATTTTCCAAAATTTAAATGCAACATCAATCGTCATCTTTTGTCTTCCTTATTGTCTTTTCTCCTGACTAATGTCTTCTCATTTTCTTTAACTCTCAGGCATTATCACCACTTGGAGTGAAATGCTTAAAAAAAACAATTTCGTATGACAGAGGAAGAGGTGTCATTTTTTGACATCCTGCTCTTATGATAATAGGATTACTTTTGAAAAGATTTGGATGCATATAATTAAACAGGAAATAGCATGGATTAGACCAAAGTGTATCACAATCTTTCTGAAAGTTTTTTTTAAGGACCATTTCATTTGTGAACAAAATAATCACAAAAATAGCAGACATTAAATTTTTATTATTTACATTTGATCTATTGTCCTAATCTCTGTTGCTATTATCATGAAATTTCAGCCATTGTGTACTTCTTCAGGGGCTTGTTGATACAGGTAAACTTCAGCGAATTTCAAATTTAAACTTTGGAATCTACAGGGAGTAGATTGTTTTTGCTCCACTGTCCATGTTTACGGATATCTTGTCTTGTTCTTGTTTAGAACTGCTAAGTTACTGTTCACCTTCTTTCCCTGAGTAGAAGTTTGTAGTACCTAACCCAAGGATCGAATTCAATTAAACAGAAAATCACATAGATTAGACAAAAGTGTGTCACAATCTTTCTAAAAGTTTTTTTTATGGACCATTTCATTTAAAAAAAAAAAAATCATAAAAATAGCAGACATTAATTTTTTATTATTTACATTTGAACTATTGTCCTCATCTCTGTTGCTATAATCATGATATTTAAGCCATTGTGTACTTCTTCAGGGTTTTATTGATCCAGGTAAACTTCAAGGAATTTCAAATTTAAACTTTTGAATTTAAAGGGAGTAGATGGATCTTGCTCCACTGCCCATGTTTATGGATATCACATTTTGTTCTTGTTTAGAACTGCTAAGTTACTGTTCACCTTGTTTCCACCGAGTCTAAGTTTGCACTATCCAAACCAAGGATTGAATTCACAATTACTATATCACTAAATTCATGAACCAACACTTTAAGCTATTATTTATTGCTATTGTCTCTTGTGTCAATCCGAAGTCAAGAACTTGGAGCCTCAAACTTAATCTGCCCACTGTTGACACTGCTGTTGTCACACTTGACAGGAATCACTTCTTACTTCTCTTTTCTTGCTGCTGCTGTTGAAACCTTGTTGTTATTCTCTTTCTTTATTAATCATTCCTATATTGTACTTATTCCTATGCTAGGTCTACTGAGGAGGCTAACATATGAACTAATTCCTTTACAAGTTTGCCTCAGACAGAAAAAGCAAAGGCAATTATATCCTTCACAAAAAATTTCATGGAATGTGGGGGCCCATGGCTACAATAGTCATATATTTGCTATCATTGTTAGTGGCATGCATTTGAAATCAGGCAACGGCTTGAATTGTAAATGCTTGCAAACAGATCAGTTATTTAACCATTTACCAGCAAATAACCATTCAAAATTGCACAGGTTGCAAAAACGTAGACACTATCTCTGCCTGTGACAAATTCTAAAACTCAAATAGCTTAAAAGTTTTCAGTCATTGTGCATGTTTTTATGTTGAACCTTTCTGTATGGCCCAGGTGGGTGCTCGTATACAGTCATTATCACTAGATAGATTGTTAAACCAAGACTGAAGAGCTTCTATCTGCCCATTGGCACAAATGGTTTTGAATTCAGAATTGTGTTTCTCCTAGACTAGTTGCAACTCAAAGCTAGAGAATCCAGTTTGCCCTGCTATTTAACCCATAGCTTGAGGAGGATGTGCATATAGTGTAATCTTTAGTGGTTTGAAAATAGCAAGCTAAGTTTGAATTCCAGCTGAGTTCCTTATGATCACTTTTGCACAAGTACCCTTGGGAAAATTATGAATCCATTTCTACTCTACTCACCTCTGTGGGTTAAACAGATAGAAACAGGCTTTTAAAAAATGTTGATAATTTACAACTAACTAAAAAGTAGATAATATAAAAATAAATATGTTGTGATAAATTTTCATATTAGTGGAAAATAATTTTCAAATCTCTTGGTGGAATGGAATAGAACTATGGTCAACATTGCTTAAGATTACAAGGGATAGGAATTCATAGACAGAGGCATGATCTCCCACATCCTGAAGGAATTTTGTACATAAAAGAAGAGTATTGAACTATTTTTTATATTATTGTTACACCAGCAAGAATAGGATGATTTTGAAAGTAGGTGAGCCCAACAAGTCTTTGATGAAACCTACACGGAAATTAATATCGGAAATTTAATAAAGAGAAGTCAAGCTTTTTGTTGCTGAAAAAGCATCGAGTTGTTGAGTTTTAGCCTTTTGGCAGGTGAAAAAGGTTTTGTGGTGTTGATGACTGTCTGATAACGGATAGACAAGAAGAGAAAGTCCTTTGTATAAAAAAAAAAGAACAAGGGTATTGGAGGTGACTGACTGAAATAACGTTTTTTTTTTTTTTTTTTTTTTGACATAATACTTCTCTCACTTCTTATCATTCCCATTTTTGAACTAATGAACCCCACCTGCTTTTATCTTCAACTCCAAGTATAATCATGTGTAGTGTACAGATAGCAGAACAAAACAATGCCTATGATTTTTTTTTAAACTTTGTAACATTAAACAATATTTCTAATAAAACTTAATGGTAAGTGACTATTAAAGTGATGGAATGTTCAGATAAAAAATAAAAAAGTTGTATTTCCAGTTTTTAAATGTGATTTTTTAAACATTAATTAATTTGTGTGATATTTTTGTCGGTTTTTTTCTCAGTTTGGATAAAAAAAAAGCATTTCAACAAAAAAAGCCTATAATTAAAATTTGACTTGTTTCTTAAATTCCCTTTTTATTGATCATAAATAAATTCTTTTGTAAAGAAAAGACAAAATTTTTATTTAAATAATAATACTCTCTAGAGTCTAGCTATTGACCACTGAAGAACAAACTTTCAAAAATCGAAACTCTTAAGTAAAAAGTTTTACTTTTAAAAGGAAGACTATAAACAAACTCTAAGTAAAAAATCTTCAGTCTGGATTTTTATCTTTTTTTTTATATATTTCTTTTCTGCGATATGAAATTTAATTTTTTCAATTGACAATTATTTAATATTTTATTTCTTTACTTTAAGAACGAAAAAAAGGAATACCGTACGGTATGTAAAGAAAAAAATAACAAACTTATTTTCTTTTTCTTATGGTCGAATAAAATAATAAATTATTTCAACATTTAGGAAATTATAAAGAAACATTTTTACCGAACTGAAGTAATGTTAAAAATAAATACCTAATTAAAAAAGGAACACAAAAATTACAAATAACTAAAAAACTTTCATCTGCGACACTTAAAGAAATAGAAAAAACTTTTTTTATGAAATGGAAAAACAACAACAAAAAGAAAAAAAAATCGTCATTAAAATAAACATAATTTTAAAGTTTTATTTTTTACTCCTGTTATAGAGTTTCTTGTGATAATTGTTTAATGTTTATAAATATTTTGCTTTAAAACTATTTACTGCTGAGCTTCAACCTATTTGTTGCAGATTACGACAAGCATGGTGGATTCAGATGAAGACGATGATTCGTACGTCTGCCTGGGTGAATGGATTGGCCCTGCATCGACAGGTATTTGCATTAACACCTTTAAAATCTTTATGATTTAGAGAGACACACAGCCCAAAATAGTCCGATGACTAAATTGTAAAAGGTTATTTAATATATTAATAAATACCTGAGTATTTTTACGATTTTATTTTTAAACAAGCACGGTGTGTACTACCGTCCCATCAATCAATGTTTTGTTTATTAATCAACTTTTCAATATCCACATTTATTTCATTTTCGATTTCAACACTTAAAAACCCCAGAGAATCATAAAAATAATTAATATTTGAAATGATGACTTTTTTTTATAACATTTTCAACTCATTTAATAATGAAGAAGAACATGTCATTATAATTATTTTTGTTTTAATTCATCTCCAAAGAAAAAAAAAGAAAAACAAATATTCCGTTCATTTCAAGCAATTTTTACATGGCAAACAGTCAAACACTGATTTATTTATTTGTTTTTCGTTTTTATTTTATTTCTGCTGAGGTCCGACTGTTTTTATTTTAGTTATTATTGTTTTTCAACTTCTGAAGCATACTGGCCACATATTTTGAATTAAATTTCATTTTTAACTTAGAAAAAAAAAATAGATGAAATAAATTAGATTTCGTATGTATGACTTTTTTTTTAGTTTTCATAAAGAGAAAGAGAACTCGTAATAAGAGTCACTTGTTCAAGAAGTGAAGTTTGTTTGTAAAGGGAGGTAAATTAGTGTTTGAAACGTTAGAGCACGGTCTGACACCGTTAAAGTAATAATTAGTTTTGGATGACACATTTCACTGTTATAAACGGTGATTACTAAGTTTCATTTTTTTTTTTTTTTTTTTTTAAATCGATAGTATAACACTTGGAATTTGACTATTATTTTTTATTCATTACCTATTTCAATGTAAAAAAAAAAGTTTCAAATATTGTTAGGAAGCTGTCATTAACTTAAACCAGTAATATGGGGGTTAATTGCTACCACTAATAATTTATATTAGACACAATGCCACAAAATAATAATAAGAAGAATAAGAAACAAAAAAATTCAGACAAGAGAAATTGTACAAATAAATAGATTTTTATATAACAAATGTACAAAAAAAAAAACAATAGTTATGAATGTTGTTTAAAATGATGAAATGAATTTGCCCTTTAGATTTTTGTGTGAGGTAATATTCCAGTTTGATAGACTGCAAGTCATAGGGTAATTTGTGTTCAATGTAATATTGTTTGTATTCAAAATAAACAGTTCGAAGTTTGTGGAAAAAGCATGTGGGGATTTGACTTATGTTGTGTTTGACGTTTGAATGTCTGTTGCTTCATTGTTTACCAACATGAGCTTAGTTTGCACCGGATGAAGGAAATAGACTGTGGTTATGTTAAAAAGGATTTTTAACTTATAGTCTGAACTTCAGTTGAAAGTTATTTTATGATTAGTGTTGTCACATAGCATGTAGCTTTTTCAGGTGATTTTTTTCCACACTCTCTGTTTCTTATGTGTTTGTTGTTTATATAAGTAATATAAGTCACATGATAGGCTCCAGAAAATGTTTTTAAATTTTGGTGCAAAAAACTGTACCTTTGATCAGGTCAAATTAAGGTCATACGTGAGGATGTAGTTGACGACATGTCATGTGATATTTTTGAACCAATCAAATTACATTAGTTGGGTAATTTAATTTGGAGCCTATGTTTTGAAATTTTTAAGTTTGGAGAACAATATTGGGTCTAGATCCTATTGTAATCACATCTTTATCTTTTTATAGCGTTTTCAGTTTTTTACATATGAGAGTTTCTTTTTTTTTTTTTTTTATTTAGTAGATGATAATCAGTAAATAAGCAAACCTAATCTAGTGACCAAGTTTTAAATTCAGAGTTCTCTTGATTTACTAAACTTAGCTTAGATGTCGCAGAAAGCAGCAAGGATGGAGCATCCAGTGAAGATCAAAATCGTTACTTCAATGTAATTGATCTAGTGAGATACGATTACTAACAATCACGCCATGTTGAAGTGCCCAAATTTAGAATTGTCCTTCTTCTAGACTGGTTTCCAATCAAGACTAAAAAGCCATGTCTGCCCTACTGTTTAACCCATAGTTGGACTGATACTTTTCTCAAGGTTATGTGTGCAAAAATGGATATAATAAACTCAATTCACTGATTTCTTGTTCTGAGCTGCTCAACATGTGCACATCTATAATTTTGAAAAATTTAATACTCATTAATTTATAAAAAAAATCTCAACTTTTCTAACCATTTAACATACCATTTTCCAATTTAGAGCTGTTGGAGATAGATTTTTCAATTTCTTTTTATTTCAAATGACTTAACACAAGTCAAAATTTATAATCAATGAGAAAACAAACTCATCAGTTGCTTTTTAAAGAAGATATTTGTTGAACTATACTAACTTTACAACACAGATTAGTAACCCGTACAGATTGATTTAACGATCTATGTCTTGGGAGACGAGCATGCTAATGACTGCTTATAGTAAGTGCTCTTTATTATAAATACATGTCTACTATTGTGGTTCATGCCGAGATGGTTGACTTGATAAAAACACAGAACATGCTGGATCAGATGGCGATTTATCCTACAAAAAGGGATGCAGGCTTGTGAGCACAATTTCTTTATTGAATTTCTTGAATACATAGGCCAGTAGACTTAATTCACACTGTTTAAAAAAACAGTGCATCAACTCAAACATGGGTATCCACAAAGAAACATTTAGAGTAGGAAGATATAATGTCAGTTACAGAATCTATTGATTCCTTAGTTTTATATATATATATATATATATATATATATATACTACAGTTCAAAAGTTTTGGGAAACTCATGGTAACTTTTTAACTTGGCCCCAAAAGTAGTTGTTTTGTACTTTAAATAAGAGAAAATTCTTATACATGTTTAAAAAAAGTGAGACTATTTTTTATTAGAAATTTTATTAACAAAAAGAAAAAGAGCATTTTATGATTAAATTTTGCTGTCATCAAAATATCTTCCTTTAGCCTTGATTACTGCAGTACAAATTTTTTGCATTCATTGCAAAAGTTTCTCAAAGTATAAGTTTGATAATTTATTCCATTCTTTTTTCAGAATTCTTTTTATTATATTCTTCAGCATGATTCACATTTACAGTGATTGGGCCAAATACCCAATATTCATATTGATGGTATTTCTTTCTTTTAAGATGAACCTGCAAAGAATCCCGTTTCTGTACATGACTTGGAAGTCCGTGATAGCCAAGGGAGGGTCCGTTTCCATGGAGCCTTCACAGGCGGATTTTCTGCTGGCTATTTCAACACTGTTGGAACCAAGGAAGGTAAGCAAGTGTCAAATGTGTGTATTTACATGTTTGTATATATATATATATATATATATATATATATATAGTTATCAAATTCGGCTACTCACAGTTTCATGTGCTCTGCTATAACACAATCATTAAAAAGACCAAATATGTTAATATTTATTTGGTCTCATGATGATTGTGTTACAGCAGAGCACATGAAACTCTGAGTAGTGGAATTTGATAACTAACTACTATTTTAATATTATTATAATATATTTAAGCTCTCATAACTTTGGCATTGAGTCCTCAGTTTATTTTATATTTTAAGCATTTAGCTTATATTTTATGTTTTTTAATATATGTGTGTGTATGTAAATATTCTCAGATGGAGTATATTTGTAGAAGGGACAAAATGAATAAAAAAGACGAGGAAAACTATGCTTAGTTTAGCCAACACATTTTGTCATTTGACGGATCTTATCAAGGCAAATGTTTGCTTTGGCTAATCTAAGTATAGTTTTCCTCTTGTCTTCACACACACACACACACACACACACACACACACACACACACAGCGATGGGTAAATTGTCGTCATTTTATATTTTTTAATTTTGCACATCGTTTCTTTTTGATTTTGTCGACTGCACGGTATTATAGTGTCAGATGGGCACCATTTGTGAGAGAAAGCGCACTATGACGTAATTCATTCTGCCAGAAATTTGGAAATGGCATACTGTACTGCTTGGTATTTGTGCCTGAAACTCCAATATGAACATTTCAGAGTGTTTGGGTGTCAATCTGACGACAGTGCAGAGAATTTGGAAAGACTTGGATGATATATTCAGTCAACATCATAGTGTTTGGAGTGATCACCAGTGATGGTGATGTTATGCCTCCATTCATCTTCCCACAGAGCCTCAGACTCAATATGGAAGACTTAAGGAGGCAGTGCTGCTCTGGTTTCAAGAGGGTGCCTGCTAGAAACAGGACTCTGCACCATGCCACACAAGCAGGAGAAAACAGTCATGACTGTCAGACAATTTCTGTGACCACATGTGTAGGGTGTAGTTGAGTGAGAGACTAAAATCTTGTAACACCAAAGATGAACTGAAGGGAAGGATTATGGCAGCATTCACAACCTTAAACAAGGAGACTGTCCAGAAGAGTTGCAGGAGATTCCAAAGTTGTCTGGAGGCCATGGTTGAAGCCACTGTCAATTTTATTGAATAAATTTACTCTTTAGTATTTCAAGATGTTTTTATGTAATTTTGGTAAATATATCTGTTAAAATGAGATGTCAGTGTAATTTTTATTTTCTTTTAATTTCTTTTGAACAGGAGTAGAGGTTCATGTCTTGTTTGGGTTTTTGGTTCCTTCTAAACTCTTCATACTCTTTCATGCCCAGTAGCCTTTTGCATCTTAGTGGCATTATTGCTTTGCTGGGGGTGAATTGAATAAAAAAGAAAAGTGTGGAGGGACATGATTGAAAACTGTTTTTCACTTTGCATGTTAATAAGAGTGTACATGTGAGAATATATATATATATATATATATATATTGAATAAAAGACAGACCACGTTAAGATTCCATGTAATAAACTATTTCACCATAACCCCTTTAACAGGGTTCTGGATCATCAGGCTTTACTTCCAAAAAGCTAAAATGAAAAAGAAATTCACACGTTTTTACGGACCTCATCAAGTATACGCAAAGTTAACGGTGAGGAAGTGAGGTGGGAGAGAGGATATGAGTGTGTCATATGTATCATTTTAGTTTCCTATTTTAACCCCAGTGTGTCGGCTGGATGTTGCTCAAATTTAACGTGTCTCGTTTCTAGATAAAGGTGGCTAAGGGGTGAACGATAAGAACTACATTAAAGGAAGACGTTACAACAACCCCAATAAATTACACGACAGGTTTCATTCAAATTCTTGGATGTTGTCAGTTCGTGTTACTTTAACGTGCATATTTGGGAGGTTAAGGTTTGATAAATGTTAAAACAATCTACGAAGGAATTAATTTGAAATTCGGTGGAGTTTTGGGTATTTTCTATGAAACAGTCGATTGGAAAAATCCATAGACAGAACATTGAAAGAGCAATCCAATTTATATTTAGTAATTTTTTTTTTTTTTTTTTTCCACTAAAACTTTTATCTTATAGCTTGTTAGGTTGACATTTATTCGTTTGATTTTTGTTCATTAAGTAAACTCGTGATTGTTTTTGACTTTTGTTCATTAAGTAAACTCGTGGTTGTTTTTATGTACCCAATTATCAATAGTTATTCCCATTTAAATAATTTTATTCTCCACACTGGGGTAGTATCTTTCAATCTCAATTAAAATACCAATCTAAACTTTCCTGAAAGTCTGATGATCCAGAACCCTGTTAAAGGGGTTATGGTGAAATAGCTTATTACATGGAATCTTAACGTGGTCTGTCTTTTATTCAAACATATCTGCTCTGAATTTTACATTGAGCTCTCTGAATATCATCCTCCTCAGGTCTACCCATACGGATTACCTAAATTTGCATAAACTATATATATATATATATATATATATATATATATATATATATAATATCCAAACAGAGCGAAACCAATGTAACTATATATGCTAATATTATGTCATCACAGGTTTAGTTATAAATTTTCTTTGCTTGTTAGGTAAAAAATTTACTTAAGAAATTGAACAAACTTTTAGACCAACCCAATATATATCTGGGTGCATAGCTAAATGGTTAGAGCATTAGCATTACAACCATGAGACCCAAATTCAAATCTTATACACTTATCATTGTTGATTAATTCATAGAAGTGACTTCTTGATATTGTCCTGAAGAGATGATCCCACCATGTGGCACTTTTGGGAAGAGCCTGAAAACTCTACCATTGGGTGACCTAAACTTTGTTCAGAGGCCATTAGTGATTGTGTTAGCATGTAGTGAAGCCTTCAATTAATGGGCAGATAGATTGCCAACCAAAACTAAAGAGTTTCTATCTCGAGATGGTATCTTGATAAAAAAAAAAATATCCACCTGCAGCCTGGCCACTCGTGGAGAAGCCTTAAAAATGTACAATCACTGAAATTTTAAATAAAAAAAAAAAAAAAAAGATGTAAAAAGTGTTGTGAGTTTGTAATTTACCTGTAAATTTAATCTTGAGTAATTAGATATTCAGAGTGTTGTAAATTTATTTTCTATCAGTATTTTTATGAAATAAAGATAAAGAATATCTTTTCTATATAATTATTTCATTTATAATCTTTATTTTTTAGGATGGAAGCCGTCAACCTTTGTATCCAACCGTGAAAACCGGCAAAAACAGAAAGCTGCTGTTCCTGAAGATTTTATGGATGAAGAGGTATGCTCAATCCTGAAGATTAGAGGATTTATTTGTATGTTTATAATATTGAGATAAACACCCAACCTTTATTTGGCATTATACATTTATTAGTGAGCTTTTTTTTTTTTTTTTTTTTTTTTTTTGGAACTTGTAGGTCTGATGAATTGGATCATGATTACAATTCCAATGTAATAAATTATAACCATGGAATATTAGTGTTTGAGCCTTTTATATTGTATATATATATATATATATATATATATATATATAAGCCAAATCACATTTACATCCAACAAACATATTTGTTTTGTATTTGAGTTATTAACATTCCATAAATTAGCTTTATGTCTGGTTTTAATTCAGATAAATCATTTTGCTAAATCAGTTTTATAGGGTAACAAATGCTTTTTATTTATATTTACATTTAAAAAAAAATCATGTTTATTTTTTAATTATTAAAATGTTATTTGGAATAAACATGTAAAAATAAAGAGCTTATCAGCTCATAAAATGGAATCAGCAGGCTAGGTTCAGATTCCAACCTTTGTAAAATAGTAGGGTGGATTGGGATCTCTAGCTTTGTTTAGGCAACCAGAAAAACAAGTTTAAATTCAAAACCCTGGAGAAGATAGTGAGAAACCACTCCCATAATGTACCCAAGAAGAGTCATGGTGCTTTACAGATCTTTAAAAAAAAAAAAAAAAAAAAGACGTGGAGAGTCATGATCAACTATATATGAAACAGACATTGTTTTAAAAAGTGATTAAGATATTTTTTTATTACTTTTAAAAATGTTAATATATTATATATATATATATATATATATATATATATATATATATATATATATATATATATATATATATATATAGTAAATGTAAAAAAATCCATTGGTATATAATTCAAGTGGATCCAATGATATAAAATATTAAAACTGATCCACAAAAAAGAGCTTGATGTATTTATTAATACAGAGCAATATAATTAATAAATAAATCCAAAATTACCTCATATGGGGAATAGCCTATTTCGGCAGACAATGATGTCAGTCGTCTGTCTTAACAACTGCCTCCTCTAACTTTATAGACATGAACTCATTTCACACCTGGGTTGATAAAACAGATGACTGACATCATCTGCTGAAATATGCTATTCCCCATATGGGGTAATTTTGGATTTATTTGTTTATTAATTATATATATGTTATATGAAATGGATTTAAACCAGACAAATATTTTAATATATTTTCTGTTTATATGTTTTTTATGGATACACTTATTTGAGTAAATACTTTGTTTTTTAATTAAACAGTATTAATAACATTTCCTGGCCTGAATGTTCAAAATAGCATATCAGGCTTAATGACAGTTCTGTATAGTATACAGGTTCAGTTCCTGTCGAAGAACGCATATTTTCTATGAAATTTTTTGAACCTTGAGGCCAGTAAATGTAATTAATGCAGTTTAATTAAAAAAACAGAGCATTTACTCAAATAATTGTATCCATAAAAAACATATAAACAGAATGTATGTATGTATATATATATATATATATATATATAAACAAAAGATTGTCCATGTTTGCTTCTTATAATATGTATATTTAATAGGCCTGTTAATAAAATCTGAGGAATAAAAAAACAACAAAATGATAACAATGTTGCCAATACGATTGATGATATATATACAGGTGTTTATTGGAAATATTGTTTTTGAAGCCAAAATTGCTGGTTTTTCAGTGGGAGGTATTTAAGGCAAGCAGGCTTTGTGGTAGAGTGCTCAGTATCAGAGACAGAGATAGAGCATTAATAGAATTAATATGAAAAAGTTTTTTTTCACTTAACTCATGTTTACTTTGGAGTTTTGTGACTATATAGATATAACCACTTGTCAGAACAGAGTAACTTTGTTCCAATGAGTGGTTATATCTATATAGCCATGAAACACTGAAGTAAATATGAATTAAGTGAAAAAAATTTGTTCATATTGATTCTATGATATATATTTATAAGCCTTTTGACTAAATTGAAGCATGAAGAGAAAGATTTTAAAGTCAAAATTTTCAGACATGCCTGTGTCCTTTTTCAATGAGACAAGAAATAAACAAAAAAGTGGGACTCATTCTTCCAGGGAAATGTTGTTGGTTAGAGTGTTCCCTGTGGAAACGATATTCTCTGAGTAAACCAAAATCTCTGTTTAATACTTTAATATGTGATTCTATTTTGAAAATGTATTTTAACTCCAATCTGTGTCTTTCATGTCAGTTTTTAAATGAAGATGCTAAAAGCACACATCTGATGTCATCAATGTTATAGAATGGTTGGTTGAAGTATGCATCATCGGGGGAAATTATCATTGTTGTTGTATTTGATGGTCTTTTTTATGGTTATTGAACCAAAGACTGAATTCCATGCCTGTATATATATGTATGTATGTATATATATATATATATATATATATATATATATATATATATATATATATATATTTTAAAGTATACCAGAATAAAGGACTTTTCTTTTGTACACCTTTTATTTTGCTTATAAGGAATAAGGAATTTTAATTTAGATCAGCTTGCAACTAGAAAATCAGTCCTCATCCCTATTGACATTTCAACATGAGTACCATACCATAGAATGTTTATACATGTATTTTATTTTATATGCAATATGCATACTTTTAATGAAGTAGTAATGGCTGGGTCAGTCTGCCAGCTAATCTCTTAAGAACATTTCTGTTTCTTCAACACCCACAGAGCCTATTTGTGGTTTATAGTGCAACTAAGCTGAGCAGACTTTAGTTCCCAGTTTCTAGGAGAGAGTGCATAAATCAATATGATCTGTAGTTGAATAAGGCCAGTACACTTAAACCCTTGATTATAATGGGTAGCATAACCATTCTTTTTGAACAATTTTGTCTACTCAATATCATTGAAACTACTTACCAGTGGGATGGTTTTCAGGCACTTCTGAACAGTACTGCACGCTATGATTGTCTACTCAGGCCTTTATCATCAAATCATTTCTTTGACAAAATAACCATGGTGAGATTTGAACCCAGGTCTTATGGACAGAATGCTAAATTTCTAACCACTTGGCCCTATAGTATGTTATATTTACATAAACTTTTAAAAGTAGATCAATAAGTTGGCTAACAGTTATTAGCAGAATTTGTATATGAAATTTTCACCATAATGTTCAGTAATTTTGATTAATGGAGAAGCATTGTGTTTATGGCAAAGAACAAGATTATGTTGAAAAATAGATATTTGTTGTATAAAATAAAATAAATACTTTTTTCATAATTAAGCTACTGACTTATTAAATTATGTAAAGTAATATTAAAAAATATTTTGGTCAGTTTTATTTCTAATTTGATCTGAATATGTGTTTTCTTTGAAAATATCTTAGGAGCTTTTCTTTATCCATGCTGTTAGAAACCTTATTAACAAACCAAAGTCACATGGATTATGTATATTATATTTTTTTTTTTTTTTTTTTTTTTTTTAGAGAAAACACAATTTTTTTGATATTTCTAGTCTTTTTATTTTTTATTAATCTTTCTTGAACTACCCTGAAAATACTTTTCTAGATTTGAGTATTTGCTTATTAAATCTTATTTCTGTTTGCAGGATTTTGGAGAACATGGCATTGCACCACGTCAGATTGTCACATCAGACAATTTCAAGTCTGTGGAATTACAGAGAAAGAGAACAGCTGTAGCAAGTGCCATCACAGCTGATAGCTTATTGTCTGGCTTGGGCTCCACACTCTTGGACTTGATTGTTCCAGAGAAGTAAGTTAAGCCATTTTCTATAAACGTTTCCTGCCTATAGAAGCAAGTAAAATATTTGGCTAGTTAAAAGTTTCTAATAACTACTATATCTTTGTCAGATGAATGAAAATTGATATTTTTTTATCAAGGGAAATTTGAATAATCTGATTATTTAAAAAAAAAACAACAAAAAAACCTCAGTTATGAATATTGGTTAACAGGAATAAAAAGCGGAAGGGCAAGAATTGCATGATGGGAAATGTTTAGCTAATAGGACAGCAATCAGGTGAGATTATGAGCATCAATAGCTTTCCTTTGTTGTGGGTCTATACTCCACATGGGAATCTACTGGATATATATACACGCACATATACATGATTATTCTTCATAATAATAAAATAGAGCTGTGGCTCTATACTCCACGTGGAAATCTACTGGAGATATATGATAAAATATAGTTTTAAGGTGTGCTATATTTACTAGTTAAAGTGCTCAATATCAGGGATAGTGTATGTAAATATAAAAGAAGACATTGAACTCAACACAATCTACTGAATATATATATATATATATCTTGTTTTGAAACATGAGACTTCTTATGTCGCGATTTGGAATCATATTTTTAAATAAATAATTATACATATATATATACACGCACACACACACTTCTTATTCTTCATAGTAATAAAACAACTGTTATTTATGATAACAAGAAACTTGCTACTTTTATTTTTAATCACTTCACCCCTAGCAAGGGGCTGCTGGGAGTGAAAGAGAATAAAAAAAGTCTTTAGAAGGAACCAGAAACCCAATTCTAAACAGGAAACAAGAAACCAACCACTACTTCTGTTCAAAAGACAGGGGAGGTGTGTGAACTGGATGATAGGTGAAACTATCTACTTCTATTGAGGCGGGAGGGAAGATAGTAAATAAAATTTCAGAATTTAGGTGGAGATGTTAGAAGTATAGGTTTAAAGTAGACTTTAGAAAAAGCTGGAAACCCAATCCTAAACAAGAATCAAAGAATAAACCTCTACTCCTGTTCAAAAGACCAGGAAGGAGTGTGAACTGGACAATATATAAAAAAAATACCTCTCAAGGTCAAAAATATAGAGCTATTATGTAAATAAAAACAAATTAAGAAAAAATAATAAGCACAACTGCCTGTTTAATACTGGTTGATCTTTGTGAAGCATACTTCTCTGGTTTGATTTTATTTACGTACAAACATAGAAGAGTCCATAAACATTTTTATGGGGCCTTCTTGAACCCAAATCTCATCTTTTATTTCACAATCTTTCTGCACTATTTTTTTTTAACTGATAGTATTAGTAGCAGCAGTATTATCTTTTTTTTTATTAGGTGAAATATTAACAACTATTATTATTAATTTTGATTTGTATTTACTTTAACCTTTATTTTTCTCATTGTTTTTTACTGCAACTTTACACAGTGCTGATCAGAGACATTTGTATAGATATTCACACCATTTTTGAAATTTCTCTTTCAGTTTGTAAAAAAAATTATTTGGATATATATATAAGTTGACTTTTCTTACCTGTCAGTCAAACTTGCAGTATATATTTACATTTTACTTATTAAGACAACATAGCAGTCTAACCCTTTGTTTCCTTTGATTTTAGACTGACGATAGGTGTCAGACTGCTACGCAAAATGGGTTGGAAAGAAGGTCAAGGTGTTGGGCCTCGCTATGAGAAGCATAAAATAAAGAAGAAAAAGAAGTCAGGTTTGTATAAGAATGTCTGGGACCAATGCTTACAATTTAATTCAGATGTTAGTATTCATTTGAAGTTTCAAGGCTTGTTTTCTATATATTGCAAATGTTAATGTAAATCAGAAATTAAGCAGATTAGTCAACTTATGTAAACTTAGTTTAATATTTATATACTTTCACTTTTAAAATTCAATGACATTTCAAGTTTTCCCTCCTCAAAAAAAATATTAATTTCTTAGCAAACTTGAACCTTCATGCCTACCAAAAAACTGTATCAAAAGGACGGTTTTTCTATTGACACCATTATTATTTTAACTACCTTCCATCCTCAGCAGTGTTTGTTATTTTAAAAATTGATGATTAGGATAAAAATATTAAACATTATATATTTATTAGATGTTTATTTACAAGAATAATTTTATATTTACAACATTCTAGAAATTCTTAGTTAAAACTAATGCAATGCAATATTTATCATTTATCAATTTATTATTTGCCATTTTGTAAAGTTTGAATCAATTGGCAATTAGTCACTGTTTTGCCAACCATTCCAATAAACAATCAATATTTCATTAATAAATCGTGTTTATTTTTTTTGTCAATTCTCAAGAACAAAGAAAATGTATAAATTCACTTTCATATGTTTTGAAACAATTCTAATCATTGTTTTTTAAAACTATAAACATTGCTGAGGAGTGAAGGTAGTTAAAATAATAGTGGTGTCAAGGGAAAAAACATCTTTTTGATACTCCATTTTTTGCAGGCATTAAGGTTCAAATTTGCCAATTTCTTTTACTATTTTTAACATTGCAATGAGTATACACTCCATTTTCTGCTTAAAGATTGCACACTTTAACCCAAATTTAAATGGATTTTCAAATCATCACTAACATTTATCCTTAATAGAAGAATAGATGGAGTAAATAAGCTGATATCAAAAATGACCTACAATCTGTTAACTGGGGCAAGCAATTATTCTTGCCAGAACTTATCTTACATATTTATAAGTCTACCATTTGTCCATGCTTTAAACATTGCTTCCACATCTGACCTGGTGCTTTTGCCATGTATTTAGAGATGCTTGATAAAATCCAAAGAATCTGCAATGTGATTGGTTCTGACCTGGCATCTTGGCTTCAGTCACTTTCCTATCACTGTGACATAGCTTCGCTGTGCTTTTTCTATAAATATTTTCATGGTAATTGTTCTGATGAACTTTCCTCTACGGTACCATGACATTATAAATCTAAGCACTGTACTGGATTGGCAGCAAGATCTCATCATTTTACACTTGAAATAGCTAAATGTAATTGTAAGTTCTATGCTAACAGTTTCTTCTCTCACACTTCTGACTTGTGGCATACTCTCTGGTTTCTTGCTTTTCAGTAAACTTTGATCAAAAATTTAAATGTATTATCAATCATTATCTTTTATTGTTCTCTCTCATTAATAGTGTTTTTTTTTTCTCTCATATTCTTTCACATTCAGTAATCTGTTGTGCAATGGCTTTATTGTCTTGCTTGGGGTGGAATGATTAAAAAAAAAAGAGTAAATAAATAGAAAGATGGGTGGGAGGTATTTAGTTCAGAGAGCTTTCTTTTTTAAGATATTGTAAAAGATAAATTTAAATTACCATATTTTTTGCCATATAACATGGATCTATAATTTGGCAAGTAATGTGAGGATTGCTTTGAAAGTAATGTATCCTCTGTTATTATGCTGGCCCACTATGTCAAACAGATGCAAGTTGCTGATATAATAATAGAGGTTGCACACTCCTGTCGATAACCCTCAACCATTTTTTGTTTTGTTACTGATAGCAGTTGATTAGCAGTTTGGTAGATTTACAAAGTGATTTTTAGAATTTTTTTTTTTAATGCTCTTATTTGGCAAGAAATATGGTATTACTTTATTTTTTTAATGTCATGTCACTTCAGGACATATTTGATCATGGCTCCCCCACAAATTCCTTAAATTTTCATTATCTGTGAATTGCCATGCCTTTTTGGAAAAGATAGTGGAATTGTTCCCATTGCATTTTCTACAGTTTTGAATTCAGAGTTTTCCTTCTCTTATACTATTATCCACTCAAGGCTAGAGAGCCCTGTTTACCCTCTTATTTAATGCATAGCTAGAGGAAGAAGTGGATTCATGTCTTGTGAATGCAATAAACTAGCCCAGGATTCCACTTTTTGTACCAATATCCACAGCCCACATAAAATATCTCAAAATTATTCACTTTTCTGAAACTATAGCTGCAGTACTTTTTAATGCAGACTCTTGGTTATCTCTAGAAATTAAATTTATTCCATTGAAAATAAAAGTAAAAGTTGGTTTTCTAGTTAATAAAACAAGTAAAATTTGTAAAGTTTTCTTTCTCTTTGTTAAGCTCAGAATATTTAGAATTTTATATCCTAGGAACTGTTGTATTAAATGTTAACATGTCTAAATAGTTAATTCAGTTTTGTTGTTAGATAGCACTAGGAGCATTAATCTTTTATTTTGACTTATACCAAACAAATTTGTTGATTATATTCTGAACATCTGCTGGGCTTCTTTTATAAGAACAAAGAATTCAAATTCTACTAGTTCCTTACTAATTGAGCATAAACTGATTTATATATTTGTTAATTAAGTTTTTTATTTTTCATATTTAAGCTACTGATCAAAAGTATAGCATTTCAAGATCAGAGATCTACTTTATATTTTAGTGACTTTTTGTTTTTTATAAAATAATGAACATGAGATTTTCAATGGATTCAAGACCAAATGAAAAAAATATCTCTTGTAACTCTTGAAAATAATTCTAGAAAATGCTAAGCTTTTTAACTTCTTTGTTCCTTTATAAATGGTATTCTTGATCTAGATTTTCAATTAATCAAACAGTTTATCTATCAAAGCTTATTGACAGGATTTGAACACAGTCATACTTTATGCAAATGCAGATGCTACTTGAGATTAAAATTGAATTTACTCTCACTGATTTTTGTGTATCATTGATTCTCCTTTTACAGATGGTGCTAAAATGTATGGCTGCACATTACCAGATTCAGGTTCGGAATCAGAGGTAACCTATTAATTTATTAATAATAATATAATTACTATTGTCATTATTATAATATTATTTTACCCATGTGAAAAGGATAACAAGCTATTTTGTTAATTTCATACTATTAGAAAGTTTTCATACATGAATCAAAATATATTTTCTGTGTGTCCCAATTCCCTTTTTGTTATTCTTTTTTAAATTTCACAAATAAAAATATCTATATTATGATCAGGTTTCCTCTTCTAAAAAAGTTTTTAATAAATATATTTTGGTTCTCACAAATGTAGCTTGAGGAAGGTCTAATGAATGTACAAAAATTATTCATCCTCAAATTTTTCCCTATTTTAATAAATGGCTCAATCAACCTTGGTTGTATGCTTGTCAGTTTTCATATTACTAAATTGAGAAATAGCAAAAAAAAAAAATTATCCCTCCCAAAATTATTCTGTTTTTTATGAATGGATCAATCAGCCTTAATTGTATGTTTATGTCAGTTTTCATATTACTAAATCATAGCAAAATAAATTGATCTGATTAAGTTTGAGAAATGTTTAAAAATAAACATGAGTTTTTAATAAAACCCACATTTCATGTATGTAAAATCCTATCAAATATAAAAATGATGATTTTAGTGTAGCTTACTCTAGTGGCAGTGAGTAACTTACCTAACAAGTTTGTGTAAATGATTGACAGGACAGGCATTAGGAGAAACAGCAACAAGACAAAACTTACTTAGAACTACAATAGACAGTAAATTGTGGAGAGCCATGATTGCCTATGTCCTGAAGGAACAGGGCATGTTGAATTTGTTATTTAAAAAAAAAATGAATGATTGACATTGAAACTCATTTGAATGCAAAATTCATACTGACTTATAGTAAGGGAAAAAACTCTTGAAAAAAAACTTGATGTAAATATCATCAATTGTATTTTATTTCTTTTCTCTTTTTTCTGTTTAGGCTTCTGATGAGTATGTTCCTGAATCTGTAACATTTGCTCCCAAAGATATTTGTCCCATATCCTTTGTCCCCAAAGACAATGCACATGGTCTTGGATACAGTGGCATTAACATCAAGGCAGCTCTTCCCTCTGGTCATATTTCTCTCTTCTCAGAACCATATTCAACACCTCAGCCAAAATCCCATAAAAGAAAAGGAATTCAAGGAGCAGTAAGCCTTTTCATTCTTCATCGTTGTTTAATTGATTATTAATATTTTTTATAAATTTATGTAAGGCTAAATTTTGTCTGTGCCCCCACTTAACATCAATAGCACAAAACACCCCATACTGTTAACATGTAATGAATTTACTACCAACCATGGCATCAGTTAGAGATTCTAACCTCTAGGCTATCGGCATCTGGCAGAGAGAGAGGCTAATTTTTGCATATTTATTTTTTCATAAACATATATATGAGTTTGTGACCCTGGGTTTCACAAATTATATTTCCAGTTAACAGTAAATATAATTCATCCTTGATAATAGCTAAAGATATAGTTGAAAGCCCTTGGAATAATAAAACATTTGGACAGTTTTTGTATAATCTATCTACAGAAAAAAAAATAAGATTATATGAAAAACTATATAAAAAACTTAATCAAAGGACCTCATCTGTCATATTCGCTGAAGCTTGCATATATATATATATATATATATATATATATATTATAATTATTTTAAAAAAATATGATTCCTTTGCTACATAAGAGTTCTCATGTTTCGAAAACCTCAATATAATTATTAAAATTAAATTGAATTAAAGTATCAAGCCCTTTTCATCCTCAAGCGAAAATTTAGGAATAACCATCTTGAATATCTTGAAATTTATGCATCTTTATAAGCATGTTCATTCGCAAAATTAATTACTATGGAAACGGCTGGAGCAACCATTTTGATGAGGGACATAAGAGTTAATTTGTATCTACATACCAGTCACCTTTGGAAAGAGGTCAAGCCGAGGCATGGCCGGGGTGTCCATTTCAAAGCGAATGATGGCATTCATGTACACACATCATCTGGTCAGTCACAGCGACAGATAGCTGTTGGCACCATAATATGTCGTTAAGTGTCTAAAGAATTTTATTTTATTTATTTTTTCCTAAAGGGCTGTTTCGTACATAAATGCATCACACTGAACTATAATTTTTTTTTTGACGACTCCATAAAGGGTTTTTCTATCTTATGATTGGGTTAAGCTTTTAAACCTTTTATTAGACTATGAATTTTTTTTTTTTTTGCTAATTATTTAATGCAAAAATTTGTTGATGTCGGCAAAAAACTGTTAACTCATGTCTATGGTTTAATAAATTTTCATTATTTAGAAACTTAATAATGTGTAGTTTTTCATGTAGGCATAAAGGGCACAGGTCATCCCAGGTTTTACAAGTTCTTGTTCTATTTATTATTTTCCATTTTACTTATGGTGTTTTATTCATTTCTTTTAAATGCCAAAAATATTTGGACAGGAATGTCTGATTTCTATTTCTAATATTATTGTAGGAGCTTTTGTGTTGTCTCCATCTAATTTTAAATTCATTCTTCGTTGAACCAATGTATATCCTTTCAGTGTTAGGACTCTCAATGGATGAGATAGTGCATTGGTATACCACAGATTTTGTGCATCATTTATTTTCTAACAGGCAGTCTTCAGGGTTTCTACAATCACATAATTTTTCATTATTTTGTCTAATTTTAGTTTAGGATTTTTATTAATACTGTTTTGGCATGCGTGTTTTTCCAGGATTTTATTATGTTTTTTTATTATACTTTCTAGATTTTCAGTGCAACTGTAACTTAATTTTAAGGTGTTTTTATTAAAGATCTTGCTAAGTCTGCTATTAGTAGGAAAGTGTTTTTCGATTAAAGCTAGGTACTTATGTCCTAGCTTAATACTAACCATTTGGTTGAACGGAGGGGTATACCAAATGATTTTTCTTTTCCTGTTTTTCTTCTGGTTAGTACTATTGTTTCTATAATTGATGTTAGCATTTTTGTATCCACTATTTTTTAGGGCTGTGTCATAAAAATTACCATGTTGTTGGAATATTTCCTTATTAGCAGAGTTCATGCTGATTCTTTTCTCTATTGATGTGGGTATGTGCTTAATTATAGATGGAGGGTGGTTTGACTTAGGGTGTACATACAAGGGGTTAGCGTTAGGTTTTCTGTAAGGTAGGTATATGTTGTTCATTAAGTCTAAAGTTATGTTGAAGAAGTTTACCCTTTTTAATTTACTATTGACTGTAGTTTTTAAATTTAGTTTTTTGAATTCACTATATATTATCTTTCTAATTTTATCTATTTAAAAATTTGTGGAGCTCCTCACTACCATGAGCCCGTCATCCATGTATAGCCCGATGTCCTTAATGTCTAATTGACGGTGCGTGGTTAGATTGTATAGTATAAATAGGCCAACAAGGTCAGAAGACTCTGCAGAGCCTAAAGATCTCATGGTGATGTAAAATTGTCATTAGTGTTTTTTAATCCATTGGTCCCCATTATGAATGAGGACAGATTTATATATATATATATATATATATATATATATATATATACTCACACAATTTGTTAGTAATATATATATATATATATATATATATATAAATAACAAATTGCATTTACAGCATAAGTGGTAACATTTAATTTGCATAACAATTTTTAAAAGCATATTTTAATAAATATTTCACCTGTGTTATTTATTTTTAATCCAAATTTCAGAAATTGTCAATTATAAGCAGTGTTTCTGTCAAACTTTTTTAATTCATTTTCTTTAAGAATTTATATTTCTCTTGTCAAAATTCAGTTGTGAGTTAGCAGAAAAAATATCAGTAAATAATTTAAAAAAATTAATTTTTTTAGAAAAATTTATCATTTTAAACCTGGCAATGTTAGTTATTATTGTATTTCCTGCAGCATTTGTAGTAACTATTGTTGTCATCTGACATTTCACATTACTGCAAATTAGTCAAGTAGAATTTTATGGAATTGTCTAAATAAGTTAAAATAATCTGCTTAATTAGATTTTCTTAAAACTGTACCAAATTATTTAAACAAGTAAAAAAGGAATAGTAAGCTTGCTGAATTATTATTGTTATTGATGATAATAATAATTAATATAAACATTAGAAAATTATTAAAATGTTTTTCTCATTATCAGCTCTATGTAGCTATGTCATAATAAACACTGTTGTCATATGCAATTTCACATTACTACAAATTAGTTCAATGGAACTGAAAATCTTTTTATGGAATTATCTAAATAAATCAAATTTTGTTTAATTAAATTTTCTTAAAACTGTATAAAATTATATAAACAAGTGAAAAAATACATTTATCAAATTAATTTTCATTATTATTTTTAATATAAACATTATTAAAAATGTTTTTCTCATAGTCAGTTCTATGTAACTCTGTCCAGAGTAGGAAATTCAAGTGGACTTAACATAATTGGTAAAAGGAAAATAGATGACATGCTGAAAATGTTGTTTCTGCAGGAACTTTTATTGAGGTAAAAACACTTCTATCACAACTTAGTTTTCTCTATCTAAAGGATGGGAATTCAGCTAGTATATCATAAATATTTAGAATTAAAATAAATTCTAAAATAAAATCTATTATACCAAATAAGTCATATTAAACAAAGAATTGGATTATGTCTTCTAAGCCTCATCCAACTTTACTGGAAAAATGTCAGAAAGTAAGGCTATATGAAGGATACTGTATATTTCCATGTATAAGATGACCTTTAAATCACAAAAATCACCCTTAAGAATTGGGGGTTGTCTTAGATTAATGTTTGAGTAATGTTTGTTGGTAGGTTAACCTCGGCCTTATTGCAATAACCAATAACATACATGAAAAGATTCACATTATCAAATAGACTGATAATAAAAGTAATAAAACCATTTCTATTTTATATTTTACTGACATAACTTCATAATAAATTGCCTATTTGAAGAATAATTCCATATCAGTGAAATTAACTTGTATTCATGCAAGCTCATCTGAGAAAATGTAAACATCGAGTTATGATTACTTTCACAGCAACTTTTCTTTCATTAAACTTTCAATAATCAACTGGCTTAGACAGAAATTAGGAAGAGACTGTACAACAAACTTTTGAAAGTAGAATGTACTGTTATCGTACATTATTATACTGTTATTACCAGGCTGTTTGAACTGTTTAGATGTAGGAAAAGAAGAGGAAAAAGAAGAATCAGTATTTGCAAGAGATCACATGATGAAACGTAAACAAAACAATGGTTTCTTTTGTAGGGGACATGTGTAAGAAAATGTTATAGAATCGGTTTTGTTATTTTCTTTATTTTGAATTTCTAAGGATACAGTAAGTAACAACATTTCCAATAGCATCATCTTTATATAATCAATAAGCAGTTGTCTTATACTACAGGTATAGGATAAATTCATGAAAATTTGCTATATTTTTTTTACCTTGTCTTATCTCAAGGTTGCCTTATACGTGGAAATATACAGTATTTAAATTCTAAACAGAGAATTCATTATTGTTTTCTTTCTGAATTTTCTTTCATTAAAATTTTTCGACCATAAGACCACTTGTTGATATATTTCCAAACATTTAAAATTTTCACAATCTCTACAGTCGTTTAAAATAATTTTGACTGCATCTACATAAATGCTTTCATAAAATTAAGTTATAGTTTCATGATCATATTAATAATTCTGCTTTATTTAAAAATCCTTGATTAATCTTTTTACATTTTTAAAACATCCCTTATATAAATTTTTTTCTTTATTTGTGTTAGTCTACTTTCACATATTTTTAAACTTTGACGATTGCATTTACAAACTTGCTCATTATAAAATTCATTTCTATATTTTCATTGTATGAATACATTGAATGATATTTTAACAATAATGTTTGTAGGCATTTGGTGTTGGTGCCTTGGAGGAAGATGATGATGACATTTATACATTGGACAGTTTCTCAAACTATGACCAGTCTATTGGAGGACCTGAAGTTGATGATAATCTGTTTGGCTGGACAGCCCCTGGCAGAAATAAACCTGGTAAATATGATGTCGGGCATAAAGAATTCTTCTTTTATCATTTTGTCGTCTAGAATTTATTTTTTTTAAACTCAATCTTTTCCAACTTTCCTTTTCTTATGTATTGAACATGTTGTAGCTATTGACAAAGTACCTTTGACTGTATACTGTCAGATTTTATTATGCAAATCACTGTTTTCATAGTAAAATTAGTCTTACTGAATCAATGTTGGGAAATTTTTCAGCATCTACTCATGTTTATATTAGTAACATATTGTATTGGTTTCAACTTATAACATCTATCCTTATTAAAAAATATTGATAATAACTTGTTTTATAATGCAGTCAAAACAAGTCTTATCTCTTATATATAAGCTATAGAAATACATATTCATTAACATTAGTATTTCTGAACTAATGTTTTCTGCTAACATGAAGTGGAAAGATTATATTGAATCAATTGCTAGGTATGCAGCTAGGAAAGTTGATTCACTGTGTTGTGCAAGACAATTTTTCTCGCTAGAATCTCTCTTCCAAATTTATAAGTCTACCATTTGTCCATGCTTTGAATATTACTTCTACATCTGATCTGGTATTCCTGCTATATATTTAGAGATTCTTGATAAAATCCAAAGAAGAATCTGCAATATTATTGGTTCTGACATCTCAACTTCTTGAAATGGCTAGATGTAACTAAGTTCTATGCTAATAGTTTCTTTTATCACACTTTTCACTTGTGGAACTCTCTTTTGACTTCTTTCTTCACAGTCAAATTTGATCTTCAAACATTTACATGCAATGCCAATCATTATCTTCTGTCTTAACTCTTGTTCTTTTATTGTTGTCTCTTTTGTTTTAAAATTACTTCTTTTTTTTTTTTTAAATTTGCTTTACAAAGAATTTATTTAGAAAAAAATAATTTTTTTTGAATTGAAATTCTAATAATCTGAAAATAACGGAAAATTAATAGCAAAAGTTTTTAAAAATTCATATAAACTCTTGTTTTTAATTCTTCTACATTTGTATTAAATTCATTTTTCATGAAAATGTATTTCATCTTTTTAACGAGATGAGAATGTAAATTTTGGAATGTGTTCGCAAAAATAAATCATTAAAGCAGAACAGTTAAAAATGTTATTAATTTTTGACACATCATATTACTTTTATCCTATTTCTGTTGTATTTGATTGCAATTCTTCTGTATATACAACTGGGAAAGATGTGTTTATTATCAACAGCCAACCCATTTCATGTAAGTCCTTCAAATTTGGTGTACATACCTTGTTGCACTTGGGCACCTCGAGGCAGTGTAATGGTTAGCAAGCTCAGTCTTAATAGTGTTTTTTATTTCATATTCTCTACTACTTTGTAACCCCTTGCATCTTAGTGGCTTTATTTCCTTGCTTGGGGTGAAATGATTAAAAAAAAAAGAAGAAATAAATAACTCAATATCCCATATACCTGAATAAATTATTTTACATGTTAATAGAGACTCCTTAACATTTTATAACCTTTTTTGTTCATTGATATGTTAGTTTTTCTACTGGCTCAACTTTAACATTACTTTCAGCAGTTTTTATAGTTTTCCAGAGATTTGCTTTGCTTGAATATTGTTTTCCATTCCCATATACATTTATTTTAATGATGGCTCACCACCACCTTGTCTACTCAATTAAATGGCTGAAGGCCATTCTATTTATCTTTTTTGGCAAGGTGGGCAATAGCTTTGCAAAATGTGAAGGAGCATTGTCTTGCATTAATATACTTTTTAATTTAAATTTTTTAATTGTAACCTATATCACTCAAATTGCTGGTAGCATCCATTCTCCTATATGGATGTGAAACGTGGACACTGTTGGCAGAAACAAAGAGAAGGATCCAAATATTTGAGAACAAATGCATGAGAAATCTCCTTGGCATCTTTTATTGGAAATATAAAACCAACGAGATTGTGCAGAAAAGGGTTGAAAGTTTTGTGGGCCACCAGGAACCTCTTCTCCCCACTGTCAAATGGAGAAAAATGATGTGGTTTGGACATGTTATAATGCATGACAGCCTGTGCAAGACCATCATGTAAGGCACCATTGAAGGTGGACATGGGAGAGGACACCAACATAAAAACAGGTTGGACAATGTCAAACAATGGACAAGTATGATGATACCAGAATTGCTGATGGCTGCCGTTGACGGACCATTGTGGAGGAGATTCATTCTGGCTTCTGTATTCGGATTCACCCTACAATTACAAAAGTCAAGAGAATAATGATGATGATATATCACTCAAGAAACATTTGTCCAAAAAATTAGAATAATTTTCTGCATTTATCTTGGCACTATCATTGCCTTTGAAGAGACTTATAATTTTACTGCCCCCATATTAGTCCCAAACATTTTATTCTACCATTGTAGGTTGAGTATTTTCATGAAGGACCAACCATTAGTCCATCCATCAGGTCCATCCAATGTAGCTCTTCATTCCTGATTAAAAATTACTGTTGAGAAATCAGTTTTCATGTACTTTTTTGACCAACTTATATACTTTCTCTTTTAGACAATATTTATGAGGTAGGATGTGGCACAAGGCCAAATTTAATGTGGGGCAATCTGAGTCTGTAGGCTCATCCAAAAATTCCCCATAACCCCGCATAAATGGGTTCGGGTCTGTCTACCTTCCTGGACAAGACTCTGCCCTTCAGCATAGCCTTGTTCAGGTTCCTCTCTGCCCGAAGGCAGAGAGTTTGACAACAGCTGAGAGCTGAGTAACATCCCACCTAGACTACTTATTCTTTTAGATGTTCACTTAAAGGTAGTAATTTCCTTGCTTTCATGTCTTTAACCAATGTTCTTAATATTCTGATTTTTTGCAACACTAGCTTCTTACTGGTCAATTTACTTTTCTTGCTTACTCTTTTTTTTATTTTTCTCAAATTTCTTTTTGTGACTTTCTTGAAGGCATTTTTTTTGTTCTTCTCTTGCCAATATTTTCATTTTCTTTTTTAATTTAAAATTTTTTGCAATTTCCAAAAGTTGTGTTCCTATCACTCAATCCCTTTCAAAAATTTTATTTCTTTTGAGATTGTATCTTATGGCCTATGGTAAATTTGATATATCTGAAATGAAAAAATGAATATCAATAACTCTATTATATATTTATTTATAATATGACGAACAACACTTTGGGTGAATGATAACATCTCACACCTCTAAATAAGTTATTATAAATACTTCTAATAAAATATTATAAGCTAAAATTCACATTTTATTATGAAGACATTGACTCAAATAATAAAACCTGACATTGTTGTGACTCTAATTTTTCTTGCTGAGAATTTTGAAATTATTCTGAAAATGAACTGGCAGTAAATTCTGAGATTGTCCATTGATGGTATTTTCATGTGAATTTTCTCAATATAGGTCATCACTAGTGGGGTCATAATCGTAAGCAAAAGAAGAGGCTAAAAGAAGTCTTCAAAATTACTATATAGTAATAATGATTAATTGTTATATTATTAATCATAGCAAATAAAGGCATGAACTGTTGTATTATTGATATTTGTTAGGAAGAAAATAAATAAATCCAGGACAATCTTAAACCTTCTTACCTGCAAAAAAATAGTGTGTCAAAAAAATGTTTTTTTCACTTTATTTTAACTACCTTCATTCCACAGCAATGTTTATCATTTTGAAAAACAATGATTAGAATTTTAATAAAACCTGAGCATGAAAATGAATTTATGCATATTTTTGTTCTTGCCACTATATATTTATTAGATTGTCTATTTACACTATTTATTATATCATTTATTGAAATGGTTGGCAAAACATTAGCCGATTAGTCGATTCAAACTTTATAAAATGGTAAATAATAAGGATTTCCTTATAGTTGGTTCACATATTTTAATAATTTAGTAAATGTTTATTAATTTATGAATAAAAATTGTTTTTATATTTATTTCATTATAAATTGGTAAATGATATATATTGCATTGTATTAGTTTTTAGAATGTTGTAAATATAAAATTAAATAAACAATTTAATAGTGTTTAATATTTTTGTTACAAATTCTTAAGAACAAAAAATGTATAAGTTCATTTTCATCATATGTTTAGGGTTTATTCCAACTGTAATCATTACTTTTTAAAACAATAAATATTGCTGAGGAGTAAAAGTAGTTAAAATAATAGTGGCGTTGTGGAAAAATCATTTTTACACATTGATTTTGTGAGCACAATAGTTTAAGATTGCCAGATCCAGCTTCATATGTTTGGGTTTTATTAAAATTCTAAAAATATCTTTTTAGAATAATAACCAATGCCAAGTGAGTATATGGTAATAGCGTTGTCAAGAGAAAAAATATCCTTTTGTCACATTGTTTTTTTTGTGGGTATGCATGTTAAACTTTGCCATATTTTCTATATTTTTAGAATTTTTGACAATTGTCATCTATGATGTTAAAAAACCTTTAAATATTTTAAATATAAGAAAAGATCAATTTTTTTCTTTTTTTAAGCACATGTTGAAATTTACGTTATAAATGATTTTCTCTCTAATAATGATTTTGTCCTTTTTATTTACATCTCTTTTTAGGGGAACATTTGCCTTCTAATTATGTCGGAAAGATACTTGATGGATTTACTTTAGCTTCTGCCCCTTTGCATGCAAGAAAAGTCTATTCTCTTCCTGTCATACCAAAGGACTACAAGCCATTCCATGTATTCAAAGAAATCTCCTGTGATTTAAAACCCTCGGTACCTGATCAGAGGAACCAACAATTAAATGCCCACAGTCGAAGCATTCTTCTTGGAGAAATCAGCACTGAAGGTAAACTTTACATGTTCATTAATATTTGTGTTGTTTAAAGAAGTCTTTCACTTTTTCTAGTGTTAATTTTATTATTTTGATTTTGAAGTTAGGACATTTTATATAAAATTATTTTACCTTTCAAAAATAGTAATAGACATTATACAATAAAGTTTTTAATAAATTTAAGAAGTTTTTTTTTAAATTTTAATTATACTTTGATAATCACTGTTTTGTTTTAAAATTACTTTTTTTTTCTAAATTTGCTTTACAAAGAATTTATTTAGAAAAAATAATTTTTTTCGAACTGAAATTCTAATAATCTGAAAATAACGGAAAACTAATAGCAAAAAAAAAAATTAAAATTCATATAAACTCTTGTTTTTAATTCTACATTTGTATTCGTTTTTCATGAAAATGTTTTTCATCTTTTTATTGAGATGAGAATGTAAATTTTGAAATAATGTGTTCACAAAAATAAATCATTAGAGCAGAACAGTTAAAAATGTTATTAATTTTTGACACATCATATTACTTTTATCCTATTTCTGTTGTATTTGATTGCAATTCTTCTGTATATACAACTGGGAAAGATGTGTTTATTATCAACAGCCAACCCATTTCATGTAAGTCCTTCAAATTTGGTGTACATACCTTGTTGCACTAGGGAAGGTTTTAATGTAAAAAATGTTTTCTTTTGGGGAGTAAGTGGGGGAACTATAATCGAGAGGGGATCTCTAACAACAGGAAGCAGGAAGCCATATGGCTGCAAGATGTTATTCATCATACAGAAATTAAATTCCAAAATTTACCAACTCTCCATCACTACCTGTCATTATAACCAACTGTGATCCAAGTTTTGATCTCTTATCCAACACAGACAGATATTTCAACTCATAAACCATAAGGCTCCAGTAGATTTCCACTCTGCATTGCTTATGAATGATCATAGAATGATTATCTCAGAACTGTAATAAAAAGCAACAAAGATAAGATGAAAGAAATACTGGTCAAAAATTATTAATAATTGTCAAATTGACAAAATTTAAATAATAATAATTTCTGAATATGAGATTTGATCAAAAAGAGTTGGGACTGGTACTATAAAAAGAAAACTATAACATATATTAATTCAGCATTTAATCTCCTTTGAAGTAGACCCTTCCTGAAGCTACACACTTTATCTAGTGTCATTTTTATTGATGGAACCTCTGTGGTGTGTTGAGACAGCCACACTCTATACACTTTCCTTCCAAGCACTGGTATAAACAATGGAAGTGAGCAAGAATGTTATAACCTAGTGTGTATGTGTGACAGAGTTCAAGGTCAATCTGTGCCAAGTGGCTTCACTCTTCTTATGTTAGCTCTGTTGCCATAGCAACATCCTGATGCTTTTTGATCAGACCTTGTATGCTTGTCTGCTAGGGCACAGATGCCTTCCTCAACACTGTGTTTCTTCAACACCCACACAGCCAACCTAGAGTTTATACTGCAACTATGCTGAGTGAATCTTAGTTACAGTTTCTTGAAGAGAGAGCTCATTATTTCGTATGATCAGTAGTTGAACAAAACTAGTACAGTCAAAACTTTGGTTATTGTGACTTATGGCTTCATTATAACCCCAACCATCAACAACTCCTGAACATTTTATTTTACCCAATTTCCCTCAAGAAGACTTGTGTCAACCCTTGGTATGGTCTTCAGGTACCTCACAACAGCAGTTGGGATCATCTCTCCTGGCCAATATTATCAAGAAGTCACCTCCCCAACAAATCAACCAAGGTGAGATTTGAAAACAGGTCTCGTATATAAAAGGGACACTAATGTCCTAACCACTCAGCCTCATACCCATTTAATTAAAATGTTATTACAGTTTTAAAAGATATATATTATTATACTATTCTTCTTACAGGCTCTGTTTTTGATCTGCTCAAGAAAGATGATGCAAACCGACTTGCAAAACTCTCTGAAAGCAACCAGAAAACTTTCACATTAAATGAGATATCTAAGAATCAAATAGCAAACTGTGATCTCCAATCTGAGTCTATTTCCACTACAGACAAAAGTCATACATTTACTCCTGCTGTTGGCAGTAGTACTTCTCCAAAAAGCAGTATGGTTGCAGTTGATCCAAAGCAAGAAGTTACCATGGAGCATGATAAATTAGAAATTAAACCATTCAAAATTCAAACCACACAATTGCCTCAGACCTCCAATTGCCTTCAGGCTGGATTCCAGCCATTTGCCAAAGACCCTGCCAAACAGGAAAGATATGATCGATACTTGCTCCTCTTAAAACATGGAAAGATTGGTAAGTTGTCTGATTTATACATCACTCTAACTTGTTAAGACTAAACATTAGAATCTTACTCTGTTATATGGCTATTCTTGAAAGTTTGTGTAATGGTGTAACAGCATTCATTGATCAAGCAGCTAATCCTATTCTCTGTCGAAATTTATAAAATCTTTCTTATAAAACAATTTTTCAGGAAAATAGGTTTCTCAAGTCCAGTAGTTTTTATTGCTTTGTCCAGTAGTGTTGGGAGTTTCCTTCCTAACCTTTTGTTTGAAGTAGTGTTTAATGTCAGCATCTTGATTTTGTTATTATTTCTCTTTGTGTTACCTGTGATATTAATTTTAGTTGTTGCTGTTATTAAAAGTCCCCAAGTGATATGGTGGGGCATACAGCCATATTACATTGAAACAGCAGGTCTTATATGATCACTGAAGTTAAGCATTGCCAAGCCTGGTCAATACCTAGATGGGTGACTGTGAAAACCAGTTGCTTGGATATGTAGGTAGTGTAATAGATAATCGCCTAGAATTGAGAGCCATGTTCTAATTTCAATTGGGTTTGTTATATTTACTTACGTGCAAATACCATTGGGAAAGTTATGAATCCACTTCTTCTCCCCTCCTAGCTATAGGTTAATTAGTAGTACTTGTATCATTAAATCATGATTATCTCCAAAAAAACTTTTACAACCTAAAAATACTTTTTGGCTCTAAATAATCTGCAAAAACCAGATTAAACAAAAAACGATCAAGTATTGTAGTTTCTGTTATTTGGTACAGTGCTTTGTGATTCTGTAGTGCCAGTTTGTAAAGTTTAAAGAAAGATGTTCCTCATCGATCTAAGAAAGTGGTGGGATAAGGCCAACAGTTTAGATATTTTTTTAATGTGTTTGGCATCATGCATGACATCCATATGAAAGTCTCGATCTGACAAGGCTATTTAAAAACATGAGCTTTTAGCTTAATGTTTTGATTTTGTAGCAATTTACAGTATTGAGCCAAACATACAAAGAAGGCCTATTTTAGACTCACACTGACAGTATGTTAAAATGCTATAGTAATGTCATGGTATATAAAACCTAACAATAGAAAATTTTGCAAAAGAACTTTTAATAAAATATTTTCAAAAAAAGTTTATGACCAGAAACTGAGTTGCATTTCTAAAGCCAATCAAGGGTGTATATGTTTTTTTTTTTAATTGGTGTCACTCCATGCAAGGCAGTAAAGCCACTAAGGCACAAGGGGTTACATGGTGTGGAAGAATTAGAAACAAACATTAATAATGAGCGGGAAGAGGAAAGAGTAATCAGGAGGATAGTAGATAGCCATTGACATTGTATAAATTTTTGCAGATTAAAGTTGACTGGAAAGCATGGAGCTGGAAGGGAATTCTGCAAGTGAGAAATGCAAGAAAAGAAACTGTTAGCATAGAATTTACTCAATGCCAATCTAATACTACACTTATATTCAAAATGTCTAGGTACCATAGCAAAGAGCTATGTATAAAATCAAGAGATTTAGTTAAATAATCATAGACTACATTGATATTGGTAGACATGACAATCTGTAGTAGATATGATGCAACAAGCAGTAATTTCTGAATTGTTGAAATATTTTCAATTTTGCATTTTATGTTCATGTCTATTGAATGTCTCTTTAATCCAGATCCTTATGATGATGTCAGTGCTGGATGTGAAATGACAGAATGGGAACAAAAAAAGGAAAAGGACGAGTTCTTTCGTGCTGCTAAGATATTTAAACCGCTTAGTGGTCTTATGGCATCACGTTTCACTGCTGCTAAATTCACTGATGAAGACAGCTCAGCAGAAATGCCTATTGATGATTCAGTAAGTAAGATTTACTGTAGATTGTCTATATTTGCTGACAATTCAATTTTGAATTTATTTCAAGATTCTCTCTGAGAAAGTCATTGTTGATACTTTTAGGATTTTATATTTTTACCAGATATGAATAAACAACTAAATAAGATAATTTTATTTTATGAAGTACTTCCCAAAAGTTTGAGCTATTAGAATAAATTGATCAATTTGTTCATCTATCAAATTATTTGGCATTTTACATGTCAGACATTTCATACATCTCTTAAATTCTTTCACCAGAAAATAAAGAACCTCAATTTCTATAATTTTTTTCTTTTTTCTTTGAGGAAGTCATTTCATACCTGAAATTTCATCAACATTTGGATGGTGCTTCAGATATATAATCTTTTTTACTTACTTATTTCTTTACTTTTCTTTTTTGTTTGTGTGTGTATATATATATATATATATATATATATATATATATACACACACACAAATCTCACCATGGTTGATTTGTTAGGAAGGAGACTTCCTGACATTATCAATCCCACATATTTGTGCTAGCATAGCTATCAACAGCACCCAAGGGTTTCGTCTACCCAATTTCACTTAAAAGGCTTGGGTCAACCCCTGGTGTGGTTTTCAAGCACTTTCCAAAGGTGCTGCATGCTGGGATCGACCCCTCCAGTCTGATAACATCAGGAAATCTCCTTACTGACAAATCGACCATGGTGAGATTCAAACCTGGGTCTAATGATCAGAATGCAAACGTTCTAACCACTTGGCCACGTGCCCATATATATATATATATGAAGAAATATAGTTCTATGGTGTGTTATATTTATGGGATAAAGTGCTCAATATCAGAGATAGAGCGTATGTAAATATTAATATAAAAGTGAACATTGAAATCAACACTCAGAGGCTGTTTCATGCTAGATGCAATCCTCGGCGGCCTGATGATTGTGTCTAGCATGAAACAACCTGTTGACTTCAATGTTCACTTATATATATATATATATATATATATATATATATATATATATTCCCTTATTTTTATACTGTTTTTATATATAAACAATCATAACAAGTAATTGAAAGTTCTTGGCTCAACCAAGAAGAGATTTGTTATATCAAAGTCTTATTAATTAAAGCTTAATGACTATATATATTTTTTTTCAATGCTAAATTTAATATTAATCTTTATACCTTCAAAAATGATTTAAAATAATTCTTGTTGATATTACCTGGGGAATATGAGGTAAACTTTTAAGCATAGTTTTTAATAATGTAAACTTTTCTCTCTTAGATATGAAGCTGTTAGTGTCAGTTTTCATATTCATTGCAGGCTGATAAAGATGACCTTTCTCGAGCAGCAGACATGAAACTTTTTGGCAAGTTGACTCGGGAGACATTTGAATGGCACCCTGATCAATTGCTATGTCGGCGATTCAATGTTCCTGATCCTCATCCAGGGTATGTGCAACACTCAGTTTTAATGCTCTTGGCCAATGCATTTGGAATAAAAACTGATTTGGTCTTATACTGACTGACTTTCTGTGGCACTATCATAAGGCTTAAATTCTCTAATTTCAACTTCTTTAGCTATAGTTGTTTTAGGAGGTATATCTTCCAAAAGTTATTACAGCTAATCAAATCTAAAGCCTTTTCAGATGTTCATCTTTTTATACAGAAAATAGCATTGAAGTGTTGGTCAATAATGGACATCCCTCTCTGATATACTAATTTTGGTTGATCTTTGTACTTTTTTGCAATGTCAAATTTAACATTATATATGATTTTATTAAACAAGCAAATGTTTTAACAGTAAAATTGGTATCAACCAAACAATTTTAGTAAAATTCTCAAGATAAATTTACATAAATATAAATATGAATCAAAAAATATTGTTAACTTGTTTTGGGAATGTCAGGTTTTATCAACTAAACAAACTAAGTTTATATTTTTATTTATAAATATATCCAAAAGATATAGGCTATAGAAATATATATTTTATTAATACAATAACCCATATACCATATATATTTACATATTAATATTGCCATCTTGGCATCCTATGGCCTTCACTAGTCTTTCAACCATAGATTTTGTTAAATCTTCTAGTTTCAACTTTAACATTACTTGCAAGTGGTTTTATCGCTTTCTTAGAAATCTTTGCTTGAATATCATTTTCCATTCACATCTCTAGAAATACATAAAGATGACACCCCTGGCCATATCAGTGATGTTATCCTGAGATCATTAGTGATTGAGACAGATGAAATGAATAAGTAGTTTTTAATATTTTTGTTGTAAATTCTCAAGAACTCAAGTATTCTCAAGAACAAACAATATGTTTAAATTCACTTTCATCATATGTTTAGATTTTATTCCAATTCTTATCATCCTTTTTTTTTAAAACAATAAACATTGTCAAAGAGTGAAGATTGTTAAAAAAAATTTTGTCATGGGAGAAATCCATCTTTTTGACACTACATCTTATTGCAGGTTTGCTGATTATTCCTCTTGTAAAATTTTTTTCAGTATACTTCCTTTAAAATAAGTAACTTTTAAGAAAGAGGAAGAAAGTTTTTAACGCAACATTGGCCCTTTTCCAACACATAGATCAGCTTTGATGTTTATATGATGGTTGTACTTTTGTTTTTGTTGTTAGGTCTGGCATCATTGGAATACCTAAGATAAAAAGAGACAAATATTCAATTTTCAACTTCCTTGAAGCAACTCAATCTAAAGACATCCCAGCAACCAGCAAACAATCAGAGAAAACAAGTTAGTAATTGTTATTTTTCCCTTGCATGTGATTGTATTAATGTCATCATCATCATGGCTTGGCTTCACAAAACTAAGATCAAGAGGGAGTCTGTACATGTTGTTTGTAGGCATATTTGTGACTGATATGTCCAATGTGGGACAGGCATACATGGTCACAGCAGTTGCAGCTAAAAGTTTGGCCTAGGGTCAATAGCTTAGCATTGCAGTACTTTCTCCTCTACTTCTTGTCCCTAAGAGCTAATTGTATTAATGTACAACAAGCTGTTTAAATAATAGCACTCTGTATACAAAATTTTTATCTAAGATCTTAGAATTTGTTTATAATCTCCTCATTTTGGGATTCATTTATGACATTTATAAATTTATAACATTACTAGTATAGTACAAATATAAATATATATAAATTACAGTTTTATTTCAGTGTGGGTAATGTAATGGTTGTTGTCACGGAAAGTAAAATTGGTGAGCCAAGTTCAAATTCCGACTGAGTCTCTTGACTCCACTTTTGCACTATTGTTCGAGGGAAAGGCATGAATCTTCCTCTTCTTCTCTATCAGTTAAATAGCCAGGTAGAATAGATTCTCTAGCCTTAAATGGCAACCAGTCTAAGAGAAGAAAACAGGAAACCACTCCACTTTCTTTCACAAGAAAACATGGTAATTTACATATAATAAAGAAAAGCGTTCTCTAGAGAGCTAAGATTACCTGTGTCTTGAAGGGACATGACATTAAAAATAAATAATTTATGTATGGATAAGCACTCCAGAGTATCTGTGCACTCTAACTTAATATTTGCTAAGTTAATTTTACTGTGCTATTCAAGCAACAGAACATTAATGTGGTGAATATGTCACATGCCTGCATACATTCAGGTTGGACATTTCATTCAGATTAGCATTCCTTTGTTAATTTTATGTATCTGTTTGCTTTAGCATGACAAATGCTACAGAAAATTATACATACCAAAATAATCATATATAATTATTTTGGTATAGATGGATAATATTACATGTGTGCTTCATTTTAGTTCCTGGTGTGCTATTTTTTTGAAAACTAGAAACTGCATACATATCTGCTTTGTTGCTGGAAACTTTTGCACACACCTAATAATTAGATTAGAAAGATTTGGTACTTAGAACTAATCTTCTATACAGCACAGTGCAAAAAAAAAAAAAAAAAAACCATGACAGAAAAACATTTATTTAATATTTTTCTTTTATTCATTTTAAATTTATTGTAATTATTTATCCAATATTGTTTTATGTTTAATGTAATAATATTTAAAAGTATTTGTTTATTTATTATTTGTTTTATTATTTTGTATTTGTCTTTTTTATAATTTTATATTATTTATTATATTTTTTTATTGCTTTTGGAATATACAATTTGAAACATTTAAATGTTAGCTACAATTAAAGACAATACAAATCTTAATCTTAAATTATTATAAAACGCAGATTGTGTGTGTGTGTGTGTGTGTGTGTGTGTGTCTGTATGTTTATGTATTGGATCGGATTTTCTACATTTTTCAACCGATTTCAACAGAACTTCACAGGACTGCATAAAATTACCTTGCAGTGGTTCTGACAGTGCCAAAAATTGGAAAAACATAATTGTTTTTGCACGAAATCAATTTGAAAAAATGATAAAACACGATTCTGTCGGCAGAATGAAAGGGGGACAACTCATATCAAGTTTAAACTTATTATAAAACCCAGGTTGTTTGTGTGTGTGTTCCTTTATATATGGGATCGGATTTACTACATTTTTCAACTGATTTCAACAAAACATTTTTTTTTTTTTTTGGCAGGTAATGTTTCTTATTGTCTTGCACACTTTTTTCTTTATTTTTACATTCAGAATGCTTTAAAAATTCCATTTACAAGACAATTGTTTATAATAAAATTCTATTCAATCTTTAGACTCATAACGATTGAAAACAATGTTTTTGTTTGAGTTTGGGTTTGACCAATTCGTAAAAAAAACAACAAAAAAACAACAAAAAAAAAACAAAACAAAAAAAAACTAATTAAGACATGTGTGTCTGTCAACCTTAAACAATAATCTTTGTCAATTTTATTTTTCAGTCTTTATGATGGTCTATACATGATCTATCTCTTACTGTTACATCCCCGGGCAACGCTGGGCTCTACTGCTAGTTATTAATAAATGAATTTTGAATTTCACATTTCATATTTAAAATAGGACATCTGAAAAGCAACTCTCAATATATGCATATTTTTATCTGTATCTCTCTCTTTTACATATGGTGTTGAATTGTTCTTGGCCTCCAGACAAGAATCACTTTCCAAAAAAAAAGATCTAATGTTTGGTCAGATTAAGGGAAGTGGTTTGGCCCAAGAGACTTTTTAGCATTCTCTCATACAAGCATTTCATCATGTATAAAGTTATTTAAAATTAAAGCCATTTATGGTTCTATTTTTCTTTGGAATATTAAAAGACGGCATCAACATTTGTAACATGTTTTCATGGAAGCAATTATGATTTTGTAGTGTACATTTTTATTTTGTGAAATTTGATATGTAAAATTTTATGGTCCTAAAGCCCTATTAACTGGTTTACTAGTGATGCTTAGATCAGTTTATATATATATATATATATATATATATATATATATATATATATATATATATTATATAAGGTGTATTTAGGCAGCAAGACTTCTTTCAAAACAAGTTTTGTTGAAGAATATCAATTAGTTCTGTTTATCCCATTTTTTTGATGATGTTTTTCAAATTTATGAATAGGTTGTTTTATATAATTGGTAAATTATAACACATGCTCTGACTGATCCTTGCTTGAACCTGGTTATCAGTGACCAGATGATATGATCCTTGCCACATGCTGCCTATACCAAAAGATGACTTGGTCCTCAGGGTCATAGGTTAATGAGTTGATTGCATGGTCAATCCCACACTGGTTGATACTGTCACTGGTCAATGAGTCATTGTCCAATTGCTCCGCTCATGTTGTGTTTCTTGATCACAGTTGGTGGGGATCGAGTATCAACAGTAATCATAGTGCTGGTTTGGATTACAGCAAAGCCATGTCATGAAGCAAAGAAAAGGCATGTTCTTGCAGACAAAATAAAAATGAAAGATTCTTCAGGTCAGTTTTTGATTTAGTTTATAAAGTTCTTTATATAACAAAATTAACCTTTCCCATTAAAATCTCTATAGTGGCACTTTGCCTATTGGTGCTAATTCTTGGAACAGGACTCAAAGTTGGGGGTTCTATTGGCAGCAAGTCATGTAGATTTCAGTAGTACCTTTGTTTGCTCTTTGCTGCTTGTCTTTCATCTCTCCCTGGTTCGCCTAAGTGCTCTGCTTATACTGACTTTGACCCAAGACTGGAGTGGGGGGGGGGCTAACGGTATTTGGGAATCTGGTGATTCCCCAAGTTTCTGTATTGATTTGAACAAGAGTTCTTTGTTGTCTAGTTTGCAATATTATCTTTCCAAATTTGTGAGAACCATTCGCCCTACTGGGAGTGGTTGTAGGTATCGCCCCATCCTTATAACTCTTTCCTTATTTATGCCTCGCACCATTACTTCTAAATGGGCAAAGGTAATTTCTCTGTCTTCCTCCTCCTCTCTTAGTATTTCATCTAAGCCCGCTGCTTCAGCTGTCTCTTTGACAAATCTAATTTTTAAACTGAGTGGGTGAAAAGGAGGTTCTTACTTTTAGTCATTGTAATTATCTTGATTTACAATAACGAATTTTCTCAGTCCTTGGTCCTGTTTATGAGAGCAGATATTTACCAGCTGTTTCTGCCAACATGTTATTAGTAAAGCTTGTCTTCATATCTTTTCACTTAATTGTACTCATGGACCTAACAGTTTATTTCTTATCTCAATTTCTTTGAGCGAAGGATAAAACCCTATTTCTTGATTTGTTTAGATTTACAAAATCAGTGAAGCTATTTTTGCTCTTTGACAAGCAAGCATAAATCAGTTTCTCGATTCTGCCTTTGTCTTCAAAATTACCAAATAACTCAACTGACCCCTTCTTCTATCTGGCGATCATGAGACGTTTTCATAACTCTCACAAAAATCAATTTCTGTTTTCATTTAAAAAATTTTCACCTAACCTCGAATGCACTTTCACTATCCCTTCTTTCAGTTTATATGTTATTCCGTACTTTTAACCCTCTTTAAAAATTGGCTAGACTGAACTTGCCAATATTATTCAACAAAACTTGTTTGAAAAAAACATTTGATAAAATATTTGATGACTAAGTTAATCTCTGAAGTTTATACCCATAATTTGAGAAACTAGCGACATCCTACAACAATTACTTGGAAGATCAAGAATTTGATAAGGCATATTAGTAAAAATCACTGTTGCATTTTTAGAGAAGTAAAGGATCTACTAAAAGAATTTGTTAAACCTCATTTAATTCTTTTTTTTATATGCAAAAAAGGCCCTTATAAATGAAGCATTAAAATGGTGAATACCTGTCTAAAAGAAAAAAAAAACAAACATTATATTATTTTATCTATTTCAGAAATTTCCAGTGCTTCCGCTACTGCATCTCCAAGTACAGTGTCTGCGTCATCAACTACAAGTTCCAAAAATACTGCCCACCAGGATAAACCTTCCATTTTTAGTCATCTCATGGATCATTTGCCAGCTGAAAGGAAACAAACTTTGCCTCCAGCTGCAGCTGACAAATGTTCAGAATCAAGTACTTCAACACAGTCAATGTCAAAGACTGAGTCAGTCGTAAGTAGATGTTTGTCTATTGCTGTTAAACAGCATTATGTCCTCTGTATAATTTATTATTTAGTGTTTTTTCGAACGAAGAATAAAACCCTATTTCTTGATTTGTTTACATTTATTCTTCAGACTAGAACTTTTATTGGGTAGCCAAAAATGTTTGTTCAGTTTTTTAGCATTAACTTTACGGAAAAAATATTTAGTTTTTTGTTCCGCTGCCTTTCAAGCAACTTCATAATTCCATCCTCAATTTTTTTTCTCTTTCTCAGCAAAGAAATACTTTAGATTCCTTTTGAACTCTTTTAGAGAATTTTGTAAAGAACAAAATAAATTGTAATTCAAAAATGCAATATCTGGAATATGGTGGATAGGTGAAAACATCTGTAATCATTTTTATCTGATCACCAAAGAAATATGACAAGTTGTGAATGGATTTGCATCACTTGCTCCTCTGAAAGGAGTTCATAGAAGGGGCCTGTCTTCCAACTCCATAATATATAAATATCATACCTTCTTTGGAGAAAGACTAGCTTTTGATACAACTAGTGGCAGGGCTATGGAATTGGAGACAGAAGCGATTAGGGGGTCACTGGAGTCGGAGTCAGTAAAACTATGCCAACTTCAGTTGAATTTACACTTTATGTAAATAATCTTACATTATAGAATTTTAATTGTTATTTCATCTACTGTATATTTACTATTTCCTTTAAAGAAATTCATCTGAACTTTTTTAAAGTCATTTTATTTTTTGTAGTTATTTTGTATTTGCAAAACTATGTAAAAAAAAATCTTACATTATAGAATTTTTATTTTTGTTATGTCTTTTATATCCTTTTAAAGATTATATTTCAACATCTGTTATAGTTTTATTTTTGTTCTGTATTTATTTCTTATTTGCAAAGATATTATATATATATATATATATATATATATATATATAGTCTTACATTATAGCATTTTTATTTTTATTGTTATTTCTTCTATATCCTTTAAAAGATTTTGTCTTTAATTCTGTTAGAAAATATTGAAGAATGAATAGGTATGATATAAAAGCTAAAATATCTTTATTCTTTGATATAAACCAATTATGATATAGGCTGACTCAAGTTAGGGGTGTATGCATAGGCTTTATGAGATCTGTGTGCCATAATCACTTAATTACATAAAGAGGAGTTGGAGGTGCCAAAAATAGAGGAGTTGGAGTCAGTCAAAAGTCTTCTGTTCTGACTCCACAGCCCTGGTTAGTGGTGGTTCATTTCACCTACTCCACAATCTCTAGTGTTCCACATTGTTGTAAAGTATCCACTTTTCATTTCCCATCACAATTTGTTTGAAAAAGTAGAAAATAGTTCAAGAAGTAAATCATCTGCTGAAATACAAACTGTTGTTTATTTTTTAAAATTATTTTCTTATGTGGGTGCCACACATTAAAGTGACTAACATGACCATATTGGTGGAAATTTGATTAAAATATTTTGAGTATGTTGGCTATCTCCTGTTGTATGTTCTTAAGTCATTATAGCTATCAAAAGCAATTGTTCTACTGTGAAGGATTATTCAGCAAGAAATCTCCAGCACAACTTCATAAACCACTTTTGACATATTTGATCATTTACAGTACCTTCTCCAGAAATTGTATAGACCTTTTTTTTTTTTTTTTTTTTTTGGCATTTGAATTAGTTTTATCTTTCCTAAAATAAAACAGTATAATATGCTAAAATAAGTTGCTTATTTTCTTCAAATTTCGATGTTACAATCAATAAACAAATACCAATTTTGGCAACATTTTAAAAAAATATTCACTAAATCACAACTATTACAATAAAAGTTATCTTTTTTAATGAAATTTGTTAAAACTAAAAACTCATCTAATAAGAAAACCAGAACAATTTTTTTTAGCCAACTAGATGTCCAAACCCTCTCCTTTTCTCTGTTGTACTTCTTATCTTAAATATTTCTTGAATCTTAATACTTCATCTAAAGAATATGTACACATGAATATTTCATTTTACTGATGCATTTCTCACTTTCTTAATTAAAAAAAAATATTTTATTTTTCTTCAGACTGAAAACAAGGATGACGAACGCCCACCTCTGGATCTGTTCAAGGCCATATTTGCTGACTCATCCTCATCTGAAGATGAAGAAGATGAAGTAAAAGAAGTCAAACCTAAGTCTGTTTCTGGTGTTGAATCACATAATGGAAAGCTTAGTTCAGTTACCATGACAACTGAGAATAGTATTAAAGGTATGCTTACTGTTCAGTAGTTTTTTTTTAATATTTGACTGTCATGAACATTTGCTACATTACAGTCTTAAGTTTATTTTTGTTTTGATTTTAATAATTTCACCCCAAGCAAGGCAATAAGGCCACTGAGACACAAGGGGTTATTGAGTGTAAGAGAATAAGAGAAAAAGAAAACATTGAGGAAAGAGAAGAATAAAAGAACAGGAATTAAGAATACAGAAGATAATGATTGACATTGCATTTAAATTTTTGAAGATCAAAGTTAACTGGAAAGTATATTCTTGACATTATTAATGCAATGAGTTAGGCAATCCATCTGCCAGTCCTTATCAGGTGTACAATTGATCAGTAGACAAAATATTTACTCAATTGTAAATTTATTAAAACTAATTAACCTAAAAAATCTAAACATTTTTGAATACTTTGTGTCTGTTTGTATGCACATGTGTGTCTATATCTATCTATCTATCTATCTATCTATCTATCTATCATATATATATATATATATATATATATACACACACACACACCAAAATATCCTTAAAAAATATGTAAGTATCTTTTATGTCTCTGAATTTTATTAATGGTTTCAAATTTACAATACTGTATCAAACAAATTATTTTTGGTCCAACGAAAATTTTATCTACTTTACCTATGAACACATTATGCAGTTATAGGCCAATAAAATGGGCATACATTTTTCAAGAGTATATATATATATATATATATATATATATATATATATATATCACTAATTAGGTATGCTTTTCTGGTACTGGACTAGATTGGATTTTAAAAGAATATCCATGTATGTATGTGCTTGTGTCTGTGTGTGAGAAAGAGAGAGGGAAGTCTGAACTTGTTTGACTATCATGTTATAGAAAACTAATGTAACATATCATGCCTTGGTCGATCCTAGGTCAGTCTGGTCATCAGTGACCAATCTGATCTTTGCCACGTGTTGCCTATACAAGAAGATGTCTTAGTCCTCAGGGTTGTGGGATGATGAGTTGATTGCAGAGTCAATCCCATGCTGTTTGATATTGTCATTGGTCACTGTCCACCTCAGTATGCACCTTGCTCTGTCCACATTGTCTTTCTTGATCACAGAGCTGGTAGGGAACAATTATTGTCAGTAATTGTAGTTTCTGATTCAAATCACAGTGAGCTGTGCTGGGATGGGAAAAAATAGAAATGTCTTCACAGACAAAATAAAAAAATGAAAAATTCTTTGGTTAATTTTTGATTTGTTTATGTAGTTCTTGGTATAACAAAAATTAAGCCTTCCCAGTAAAATCTCTTTAGTGGCACTTTGACTATTGGTGTTAATTCTAGGGATAAATTTGGGAATTCTCTTGGCAGCAAGTCATGTGGATCTCAGTAACACCTTTGTCTGCCACTGTCTCATCTTTCTCTCTGTCTGTCTGCCTGAGTCGCTTAAGCACTGTGCTTATATTGACTTGACCCAAGACCGGAGTGGGGGCTGATAGTGTTTGGGAATTTGGGGTTTTCCTAAGTTTTTGTATCGATTTGAACAAATGTTCTTTGTTGTCTTCTTCCCAATATTATCTCTTTAAATTTGGAAGATACCTTCTTCCTACGGGTAGTGGTTGCAGATATTGGCCAGCCCGTACAGCTCATTTCTTCTCTTATTTATGCCTCACACCATTACTTCCAAATGGTCATAGGTAATTCCTCCGTCTCACAATTGACCCCTACTTCTGTCTAGCAGTCATGAGACATGTTTTTGTAACTTCCACTTTAGTAAGCAGACATAAATCAATTTCTCCATTTCTATTTCCATTTCCAAAATTCCCAACTGACTTCCAATGTATTTTTACTATTCCTCATCAGCCTCATGGGTTTTAATCTTTCTTGATAATATCTTTTTCTAAAACCTATAAAGTCATTGTTCTTCTTTCAATTCATTTGTTATTCTATATTTTTAACCCTTTTTGTCTGTTCCAGTTCATATTCTAAATTAAACCTTTCCTTTTACCAGTGTCACATAGTATCGCACTAAGTTGGCAAACCAAGTTTGAATTCCAACTGAAATTGCTTGCATTCACTTTGCATTAGACATGAATCCACTTGTTTACCATTTGTGAATTTATTCATTACATAAATCCTTATTTCAGACCTAACACATTCGAGTGACAAGACCTCTTCTTTGAAATCTAACCCCGAAACTTCAATTCGGAGCAAATTTTGGGAATGTCTATTGTCTAATGAAAAGGAAGAAGCCAGCAATGTATCAGAGGAACAGCAGTGTCCATTGGCAACAAATCAAGAAAAAGACAGTAGCGATGGAGAAGCTTATGGCCCTGCCTTGCCACCGACATTGACGTCATCTGAAGGTTGATTTCTACATTCAGTATTACCTTTTTTTTACTTTTTTACATTCATTATTTCTTTTCCCTATTATCTAAATATTTTAAAAACATCAGGATATGGCAATATCACTTTGAAACACCAGTTCTTGTACAATCATTAAAATTGAGCAATGTTGAGCCTGGTCAGTGCCTATATGGGTGATTGCTTGGGAATACCAGGTGCCTTAAGCATGGATGTGTGGGTGGTGTAATGGATAACGGCTTGGAATTGTAAATTGGAAAGCTGAGTTCCAATTCTAGTTGTGTTCCTTATGTATTTATATACATACAAATAACCTTGGGAAAAGTACAAATCCACCTGTTCTTCCTCCCAGTTAATTAGTAAGGCTTGTATCAGTAAAAATCATTATTATTTCAAAAATATTCTTACAATCTAAAAATATTTTCTGGCTTTAAATAACTTACAAGTTTAATAAATCATAAAAAACAAATCAGTCAAATTTAAGAACATAATTCATCTTAAAATCAATATAAGAAAATTTTTGAAAAATTTACATCTTTACTATTGTGTTTTTATAACATTTTAGTAGGCACTTACACAGAATTTATTATGTAAATCAATGTTTTAAAAATAAAGTTGATCTTTACTAACCAACGATTGCAAACTTTTCAGAATATATTTACATGAGCAATATATCATGAGAGTTTCAGTTTATAATATCTATCCTTATTAAAAATAATTGTGATCACTTGTTTTGGGGATGTCAAGTTTATTATTCAAACAGATATAGACATGCAGCATAGATTTTCATTTATCAATAATCAAAAACTATATCAGCTACAAAAGCATATTTAATTAACACAAAATCCCACAAACCTGAATAGATTATTATTTTACATATTAATATGGACTCTTGGACATTTTATAACCTTCTTCAGTCTTCTAACCACTGATTTTGCTAAATTTTCTACTTCTTCAACTTCAACATTACTTGCAGTAGTTTTTATTGCTTCCCAGAGATCTTATTTACTTGAATCGTTTTCTATTTTCATATGTATCACTTTCAGTGATGGACCACAAATTTTCTATTGGATGTATATGAAGAGAGACTGATGGTCCTTCAATTAATTTGGTGTCTTTGAAATCTTTTGTGCCAAGGTTGGCAATAGTCAGCTTTTCAGAATGTAAAGGAACATTAGTATACATGGATATTCTCTTTAAAGCTTTTTGGTTATGACTTTTACTACTCAAAACATTTCTTGTCTAAGAACTTATAACAATCTTCTGCATTTATCTTGGCATTGTCATCAAATTTGAAAAGACTTAAAAAATCTTACTAATTCCAATACGAGACTAAAACATTATTCTACCTCTCAGCCATTTTTTTTTCTGTCTTAATTTCTGGGATATGGAGTTATTATTATTTACGCTATTTACATTCAGACTATTGTCCTCATCTTTGTTGTTTTTATCTGCCTTTATCAGATGTATATCAATCCAGGTAACCTATAGGGTATTCCAAACTGAACCCTTTATTTAATCTATGGGTGCGGACTGTTCTCATTCCATTGCCCATGTCTAGGGATATCTCATCTAGTCCTTATTTTTAGTACTGCTTAATTATTGCTGGGGGGAAAAGAAAAGGTTTTATTCTGAAAAATTAAAGACAAATATTAAAAAATGAATTTGTAAGTTTCAGAAGTTCAAATATGCAAAAATAGGTTTAATTTCCTTTTCAGAAAACAATTAAAACTGCTTCTTATACACAAATATTTACGACTAAAACCAGAAACTCCTTGTAGCTACTTGACAGAGGTATTCAGAAAGCTATTTGACTAATCATGAAAATTTAACTTGCCACTTGTGAAATATTAAGGAGCTAATATAAAGAGTTAAAAGTCATAGTTCGTTTGCTTTCATGTCTTCCTATTCTGCTTCTTTTCTCTCTGTTTACATTTGTAATACCAGTTTCTTCAAGTATACACTTGCTAGTCAATCCATATTTTTTGCTTATTATTCTCTGATTAATAACAGTTTTATTTTGAAAATATTAACTTGCATCTTAAAAGCAGACAGTGTAGTCATGCATAACTTTAGGCTTATACTATGACCATTATTTTGGAGAAGTGTTTTTAATTATTTTGTTATAAATATGTATATGGGCAATAATGAAAACAAAATCTTTAAATGGGTAATGCTATAATTATCTTGCAATAATGGATAGCCTCAGAGAAATTAATGCTATAAATGCTACTACTACTTTTTATTGCATGCTTTTATGCACATGGCTCAATGAATAAAAGCATTGGTTGAAGTAATCCAGTGATTTGACCCAAAGAGATGTGAGTTCAATACCTGGCCACAGCAGAGGTGAACAAAAACTTGCAGAGTTAAATTACTAAATCGTAATGTCTTGTCTGAGATATCCAGAAAAGGCATGGCACGTGGAACTAGAATAATCTACCCCTGTGGACTAAAAAATGGGTTTGGTTTGAAATTTCACAATATATCACTTGAAGAAGACCAGAGCGTACAATGGCCGAAAATGTTGTGACTATGACAACAAAGATGAAGACAACAGTCTGAACAATGTAAATAGTATAACTAATTAATCATGTCAGAAGATTTAGATTTTTAACCTTAAAACAAAACAAATATTTTTACTTTTGCCATTAATTTAACACTTTTCAAGTCAGGAAAAATGTAAGCCAAGTAATTTTATCTTGTTTGCTATTTGTCGACTAAAATGTTGATATTTACAAATTAAAATTGTCTTAAATGTAGTTTTTGTTACCCACCAACTTAGGAACAGTTATTAAATAATTTTGTTAAATAAACTTTTATCTATTTTAATTTCCTTTTTTATTATTTTATAAATGGGAAAAAGAAATTAAAATTGTATCAGCTGCAAAAATAGACTTCAACCATAAGAAATTCTGAAATATTAATTTAAGTTCATTTCAGAAATAGGTCAGTTAAGATTAAGCAGGCTCTGTCAAATTATTCTTGAGTTGCTGTCACACATTTTAATGTCTTGTTATTGCCATAATACAGAAATTAAAGATGTGACTTTTCACTTACACTTGAGTTTCAAATAGATGGGGTGGTTGGATTAAAGTGTGTGGCTGGATCTTTTTATTTTAATTTATAATAAAATGCTTTGTACTAGAATGTATGCAGCCTAAATTAAGGGGTGGGAAGAAATCCCCTGAATATTTAATAAATGGGGAGGTTTGGAATAAGAAAATAAAGATATCTTACACCTAACATTTTTTTTTTTTTTTCTTCAAAAACAATATCCATTTCTAAGCCTGTCTATTTGAAACTGAAATGTACTTGTAAACAAATTCTCTATATTTATATTTACAGGACATAAAGATGAAACGACGACTTGTCTTGATAGCAAATTGCTCTCTTTACTGAAAAGTCCATCAGCAAAGAAACATAAACACAAAAGTAAACACAAGTCAAAAAAATCTAAAAAGGTAAGTTGGGTTATTTATATGTACTAACTAACTAGATTGTCTGTCATACCATTCCCAAGGACATTTAACTAGATTGTCTGTATTAATATTTCTTCCTGAGACTGTTTACATGCATCATCATAGTAATTTCAGTTGTGTATATATCAGGAGATAGAAGAAGCTACTTTATATCAGTTTCCATCTAATTTGGAATAATTAGGTCTCATCCACTGTCCAGTATGAAGGATTATTTGTATGACACTATTACAGTTCTATGCAAATCTAGTCTGTTAGATTTTGCCATTGACCACATCCAAATCCCGCTGCTGATGTCTTCACTGTAACCCTAGTAGGGGTGGCTTCCTAGTTATTTGGTTGTTATGGTTTTGAATTCTGAATTGTTCTCCTAGATTGGTTACCTGCCACAACTAGAGAACCCAGTCTGCCCTGCTATTTAACCCATAGCCTTGGAGAAGAGATGGATTCATACCATTCCCAAGGACATGAACTTGAATGGAATTTAAACTTGGCTCTCCAATTAAGAAATTCCAAGCTGCTATTCATTCCACCAACTTCACATTTGAATGTGCATCACTCAAATAAAGGTTTACTTCAATGTTGACAGTTAAATCTTATCGATCATTTAAGAATTTAAAGGAATACCACACTAGTCAAAAAAGGAAAAAAAAATGATTGTATTTTCCTGCAATGAGGGTGCTAATTTTATTCTGAATTAATTCTTGAAAGTGTACCCTGTATCTTACAGACCAAAAGTTACTCTTTTTATTATTTTGTTTAATTTTATATTCTAAATTTTGCAAGTCAGAATTGGGGAGCATATTTGACTTGAGAAAATATGGTAAATTCCATTTCTCTTGTTGTTTACCTACTATATTGATGATAACTATTGCATCCCTCTTGGTTCACTCTTTATGAGTTATAAGGAATTGGATACTAAAACCCAAGACGTCATGAAGTTTAGTGCCATGGTGGTGTCTATTAACATTTTTAAAGTATTTTTATGCATATGCGCTAAAATACCAAAATATTTCATTTTTAGTTTTTGTTGTTTGTCAATCAAAATAAAGGAAATAAATTCAATGTAAACAGATAAAAAATTAAAAAAAAAAAGCCAAGATTTTCCTTTTGGAAGGATGGAGGCAAAACTGGGTGAATGGAAAGGTGATATCATAACAGGCACCATGCTGTGGTAGACACAATTGTTTATTTTAAGCCATTGTTTGCTATGCCCATTTTAGTACCTGTGTATTGAAATTTCAGAACCAAACTGACATCACCCACCAGCCATGTGTCCAGTATCTTACTTGATATTTCTTTGAGTATGAGCTTATTTGCTTAAAGGATTGGGATAATACACCAGCTGCATAATTCATCCCTATAAAACAGGGAAATGCAAAGTCAACTAATTGAAATACAAGTGGTGTTTCACCAAAATAGTCCTAAGATATTTTAATCCAAGTGTATAAAAATACCAAAATTCCAGACAATGGAATCATGAAATTTCTTTGACAGTCCTATGGTATTTATCACATTTTGGATTTTGGTACCAGCCCCTGCTGCTTGTAGGTATGAGAAGAAAATTGCTAGCTTTTTTAGATTTCTACTATTTTAACATTACAATATTAAACGTTGGATAGTTGTGTTACTATCATACAACTACTATCACCTATTCACCTACTAGTTTACTGTCACACAGTCAAAAATATATAAAAATATAGAACAAGAGTAGGAGGATATTGTGTCCCATATATGGAATACAAGATAGTGTAAGATCACCAAGATTTGCAAACTATTGACAACTGTAATCCTGTCACTCATTGATTATCAAAATGGGATAAACTCAGCAATTCAGTGTACTGAGCATAACGGTTTTGGTCATTACTAACAAGCCTTAAGTAGATGCAACATATTCAGAAAATAAGTACAAACATAATTTATCTACAATGATTTGTACCAATAAAAGTATAAAAATTCTTGAAATTTAACATTTAGCTGATGATGTCAATATAGTATCTGGCTATATAAGTATTGTGTAATGCAAGACTAAAACATTATTCCACATTCTAGCTGTTTAAATTTTAAAGCTTCTTGGTTATAACTTGTATTAATTAAAAGATTTCTTGTCTAAGAACTTACAACAATCCTCTGCTTTGATCTTAGCACTGTCATCAAATTTGAAGAGACTTATAATCTTAATGATCCTAATACTAGATTTAATCATATTTAATTAAAGAACACATCAAAAGAAAACCTAACAAACTATATGATATTTAAATTTTGAAGTTTCAAACAACTATATAAGAATTTGCAAATAAAAGTCCAGCACTTGTTTTAATTCTGACAAAATTACAAACAAGCATTTGAATTTAATGTAGTTGCCAGACTAATTCACTAGTCAGTCACAGGTGACATTGTGTACAATCACTTAATTGTTTATATAGCCAATGCTGTAGAAATATGCGAGATGTATAATTAGTGGGTCAGAGTTGTATGATTGAATTATTATGTGACTTCTGTAATTTCATTGTTCAAAAAAGAATCTTACATATCCTGGTTTTCATCTTTAATATTGTGAACTGAATGACTCTCTTCATAACGGCAACTTATTGGGACATGATTTTATTAATTTTCACATGTCATAATCATCAATAATAATTATTTTTTTTCATCAGTGGTCATACTAAAACAAATAGAAAGAGAGGAAGGGGTTACTTTAGATGCACACACAAAATAATCTCTACTGTGTTTGTGTGTTTTCTGGAAATAGGCAACCAGTGGCATAGCTGGTGGGGTGGGGGTAGTTCGCTCCAGGTGGCACTTTTGGTCCATGGTGAGTTTTCAGAAAAGAAAAAAACCAATAGCATAATTTCAATAATTTTTGCAAAAAAAGCAGTGATAAGGAAGAAGATCTTCCTTATCACTGCTTTTTTTGCAAATTCAAATGAAGCCAAGTGTTCAAATGAAGCCAATTTGTCTTTGATATAGTTGGTTCAAAGCCATCTAGCCAGCAATAGAAAAAAATTGTCTCCAAAACATGCTGTCAGCTGGTGGGGGATAAACCTATTATGTTAATTTACCCACGCACGCATAGACTCTCCCAAGCTATAAATAGGAGCAGGTACTGCCTTTTGTTGAAGAAAGTTTTCAGCAGTCAGCTCTGACAGTCAGACCGAACATTCTTGCTGTAACACTCTCATTTGTATATGTTTTGTATTACTGTTTCTATTAATATATTTAACTCAGTTCCTCTCTTTGTGTCTTTATTTTTGGCCCCTAACAAGGCCACAACAAAACCCCACTTACAACACATGAGTAAAAGGTGTGAAGAAAAATTTGAACATTTTTAAAGGTCTTGATGTGGGGTTGGATTAAGTGAATTTAGTGAATCCACAGTTTTTTTTTTTACACCTATGTGAGAAGTCCAGACTTTGGCATCAGTTCTTTGATTTTGATTTTTCATGTCAGTGAAAAAAAATTAAATAAATAAATGAACCAATTGTTTTTTACCTTATCATAGATCTAGCTTTAATACAGATATAAAATTGTTACTTTTCATAAATTATAAAATAGATAAATGAATTGAAATAATTCCAATGTTTTAAGGATATCACATGCATTTCAATTTTTTCTGGAAATATCGAACAGAAATTTAAAAGAAAAATTGAAAATTAATGTATTTTTTAAGTGCAAAAACTTTATTTAAAGTTTTAAAATGGGCATTTTTTTCATTTTTTTTTCAATTTACACTAGTAAAAACAATGCAATGTTTTATTTTTTGTTTTAGATAGTTGAAGTTTTATTAAGCAAAATAGACTAAGAATTAAAAGTATGTTAACATTTATTTCAGTTTTTAAAAGGGAAATTAATTGGACTTTTAATTTTTAGTCTACTACTTTGCTAATAATAAGACATTGCATTTTTTTACATTGTTAAAAGAAAAACAAACCGTGTTTCTGTTAACATGGCATTTAATTTAGGACTCCTCACTTGTTAGAATTGGAATTAATATTAAAAAAAAATATAAATTATGAATTAAAAGTACAATGTGTTTTTTTTGTTTTCCTTTTTAAATAAAACAGGATATAAAAACAAAAACAATTATCTTTCTTTTAATATCGTAAAAAGATTTTAAAGTTTTCCCTATTTAGAAAAAAAAAAAGTAACGTCTTCACTTTTTTACATATTCCCAGTTTTATTTAAAAAAAAATAAACAAACACAATTGTACTTTTATTTCATTATTTATCAGTGATGAGTTATAAATACCGCATTAACAGAAACTCAGACACATCCCAAGTGTAGTATGTGTGAAAATGTGGCAGAAGCTGTAATAAAAAATAGTATAAAAATATTCAATGTCTGAAGGCACAAAATCTTAACATAATTAGAATGCTTCTTTTATTCTCTTTCCATACATGTAATTCTTTTAATGATTGAACCACAAATAAAATATCTGCCGAGAGTACAACATATATATAAAAACTTTAAGGGGCTAATGTGCATTGTAATGTTGTATTCTTTCTGGGGAGGGGTGGTAAAGACACTAGCTATGCCACTGTAGGCAACTGCTGCTGGTTATATCAATCCCGCTGTCATCTCATTTTGTTAGCATATTGCTTTAATATTACTAAAAAAACAGAAAATATGAAGAATTGTAGAAAATCTCTAGAAAGTTAAATTTTGTTTGTAATAAATACATTTATATTAAAATATATGTTTGTGTAATTTTTCCATAGTCTCAACATTTTTCTATGCAAGTAGTAGTAGTGGTAGTAGTAGTAGTAATATTAATAATAACATTGAGTTCTTTCTTTGTTTAGGTGAAGCATAAACATAAAAAAGAGAAAAGACACAAAGACAAAAAGAAAAAGAAACATTCTTCTTCAAAAAGAAAAGCCTCCTCTCTCTCTTCATCGGCCTCATCACCTTCGTCATCCAACGTGTCTCCTGTGCATAGAAAAAAGAAAAATGTCTGATCCTGTGTAAATATTAATCAGTAAGTGTGTCACATTTTGTTTTCATTATAATTTACAATATGAATCATCACTGATTCTATAATATAAAACACAGTGTGACCTTATATGTTTATTGGTCACAAAACCTTATCTCCTTACTGAGATGATCCATTGTTGTGGTAACTTGGACACCACTCATGTTACCATAACAACAAAACCAGGTTGTGAATAGATTATTTTTTATTTCTTTTGTTTTAGCTTTCTTCAGACAATAAATAATTTAAAAAATCAGAATAAGACATTCTCGATGAAAACTGATAAGAATTCTGTATAATCATAAATTGAAATATAATGTTATATTTATTTAGAAAAAAAAAATTATGAAATGAAAAAACTTCTCTAGTAAATACATGATGAATATGATAAGGCAAAGTTCCATTACCAACTTAAGGAGAGCACATCTTCGAATCTGTGTCTGCTAACTTCATTTTCATACCCAAAATGTAAACAGTAATTTTTTAAATAGTTCTCTTAATCCAACATTATTTCTTATTATTATTGTGGGTGTACAGATGTGTTCACTGGTTCCTCGTAGTGAGACAGTGTGTATGTATGGAGAGGGGATATACACATATATACATGCATGCTGACAAAAGCAAACGAAAATGGAAATAGATCTAAGAACACACAGGGGTCATTAAAAGATAAGCATGTTGATAACTACTCCGTCATTTCTCAAACCAATCTTAATTGTTTTATAACCCTTCATGCAGAAATTTTCACTGCCAGTTCAAGAAATACGTTTGGATCACTAACACAAAAAAAGAGGGTGTCTCATATCGAGAATACTTAACACTGAAAAACAAAGAAAAAAATTAATTATTTTTAAAAATATGTGGAAATCTCCACCCTTTGCCTGATGACGGTTGCGAGACCGGAAACACGCGTAGCAAAATTATGGAAAATAAAACATAATCTTTTTTTAAAAATCAACATTACAACCAAAAATGTTTGCGGTTTTCTCTTCTTTTTAATATATATATATATATATATATATATATATATATATATATATATATATATATACACACACACACTGGACTCTCATGTCACTTTTCACATATGAGGGTCAAGCAGCTCAGTTCTTAGAACCAACCGGCCAAACTACCCACACATATTATTTTGATTATAGTGTTGAAGGCTTGTGCAGGACTAACCATGCTTTTTGCAAGAGCCAAATACAGAGAACCAGTGCCACAATATCCCCAAATGAACCTCCACAAATTTTGAATTCAGAGTTGTCCTTCTAGACCATTTGCCATCCAAGGCTATAGGACCCAGGCTGTCCTGCTATTTACCCATAGCTGGGGGTAGAAGAGATGGATTCATACCTTTCCCAACGGTATTAACATGTAAGTGAATGTAGTGAACCCCCAAAAAATTCAAACGCAGCTCTCCGATTCCTCAATCTGAATGGCTGTCCATTATTTCACCATACCTCCATATATATAATGAGAACCCTGAAGGCTCACCATGCTTGGTGTTGCTGCTGTGCTGTAGTTTCTGTTGCAAGTAAGTTATTATGGAGTGAAATTGCCAGCTTCACACTCAGTTGGTTTTGGATTCAAGGTTCTCCTTCTAAATATGTTACCTAGCAAAACAAGAGAGTTCAATCTACTCTGCTATTCATCCCTAACCTGTTGGAGAAGAGATTGATCCATACCTCCCCAAGGATATTTGTGCAAAAGGGAACACAAAAGTCTTGGACCTAATTTGAAATTGACACACCAATCCCACTTTCCAACCTGATAGCAGTTACACTACATGCACATCTGTGTGTATGTATGTATGTGTGTGTGTGTGTGTGTATATATATATATATATATATATAAAATATTGCACATTAAGTGCTGATATTAATAAAATAGTGCTCGGTGTAGAATAATGGCTATAAATTATATATTAATAAAAAATGTACCTTTTTTTCACACCAGTGGCACAACTGTGTGTTTCAAGCAACAAAGCAATAAGTGCTGATTGAAAACTAACAATTTAAATTTATATATATATATATATATATATATATATATATATATATATATATATAAATATACTGGACTATAGTAATAAGGGAGTAGACCATATTTATGTGGTTTGTTTAAAAAAAATATAAGTAAACGGAAAAAAATAATGTATACACATAGAAAAAAAAAAGGTAAAAAACACACATCCACACAACTAGAAATACCATAATAATTTTTTGTACATTTGTATTATTTTTATCCTTAGATGTACATATTTATAATTGTTGGTATATAAGTTGTGTGGATGTGTGTTTTTGTAAAAAAATTTTTTGCTACTGGTGAGGAAAAAATGTATATTTATTATATATATATATATATATAAGATTACTTGCTAAATGTCTGTTCTTCAGGGGGGTCTTGTTTTTGAACCCACTGAAGAATGGACATTTGCCAAGAAACTTCAAAGTCAGGAAAAACAAAACAAAAAAATTGATATTTAAAAATTAAGTAATATTTTTATATAAGATTATTAATGCTCTATTTTAAATATTATTTTAATATTTTTAATATTGAGCAATAAATATATATATATATATATATATATATATATATAAAAATACCTGCTGTTTCTTAAATCTTATATAGTATAACACTTTTCAGATTGCTCATATACTACACTAACCCGAGGCGGAAGTGCCAAACCATATATAAATAAGATTTCGATGGGTAATATGCTAGTATAAATATAAAAAGCATTTACAAGATTAATAGCATGTCATATGGACTACATTTATTTACATCATTTATAGTTGGATTAATGCTCTCATTATTGTGGTTATTATCACAGCATTTCGGCTGTTGTGTTCCCAAGCCTTCTTCAGGTGTCTGTCACTCCGAGTAACCTTCAGGGAATTTCAAACTGAAACTTTCATTTCATCTATGGAGGGTAGATTATTCCTTTTTAGTAATTCTCAGTTCTCACACTTGTACACTAAATTCATGAACTGTTGCTTTAATCCTCTCGGCTGTTGTCCTGTGGGACAGTCCAGAGGCTGGAATATTTTATGACTTCATGTCTGTGTTTGGTAGTTTAACAAGACCTGATACTTTAAGAAAGAAGAATGTGTAGATATGAGGTGCTACCCAAACGTTCAGGGAAATTGTCCAGGATTTAATATACTACAGACATTTGACCTGATCCTTTGTGAGATGATGCTATACATGCTAAAGGGGACTACTTTGAAGGTGATGTTAGGCTAACTTTTTGTCATGGTTAGATTTCCTAAACTTTTAGCTAGTACCTCATATTTGCATCAGTTATTAACATGTTGACAGCCAACCTAAAATCAGTATAGGGTCATGTGCTTCCCCTACTTTTTAAAAAAATATTTTGTAAAAGAATATACTAGGCATCAATGAATACTTTTTTAGTACCAATACATTTTGAGAAAATGGCCACCGATTTTTTTTTTTTTTTTTTTTTTTTTTTTTCTTTCTAACCTCAGAAGTTGTCACCAAGCAGTGATGACAGCTACTTTCTTGTGTGCATCATATTTTGGGGGAGATTTTTCAAATTATATACATAATATACTTTGTTTTCTAACAATTTCGATGCTTTATCACAAATAAAGAAACATTATTACATGTTATAAATGTGATTTACATTTATTTTATAATTACAACCCTGTCACTATATACTGGTCACAAAATTAATTCTACTAATGCTGGAGCTGAATCATTTTTTTTCATGAAACTTTGTTTTTTTTTTTTTCTATGCATACTACACATTTATAAAGTATTCAAGTAATAGTTAAGACAAGCAGAGTGCCAGATGCATATTCCAAAAAATTCACAGAAAGCCACAGACATTACTTTATATAGAAATATACATAGTGTCTTGAATATTTGGTAAAGAAAGTTAAAATGAAAATATCTGAAGATATAGTGTAAAAAATTTTTAAAATTACACTTAAACATAGATGTTGTGATATTCAAACAACCATAAAATTTAAAAATTGATACATACATATCAAAGACAGGAAATTCACCAAAATTGATTTTAAAAAAAATTAATAAAGAAAATGAACGAGATCTGTCATCTTTTGTACTTTTTTGGAGATTTTTCCATTAGAAAAATGGGGCAATAATTTCCATACTCTGAGATTGTTGTTTTATATTCCACCATTTGTTGACATGTTTTAAATTAGAACAGTTTTGCTCACAAGATAAAGTTTGTTTATATTTTGATTTTCTTGAGTTTTCTCTCTTCATTCTTAATGAAAGACATTTTTTTTATCATAGTTATTAAAATATAGAAATATAATAAAATCATGTCAAACAAATGTATAATAAATTAACTAAACACCTTAAAATGTATTATCAAAAATAAATTTTGAAACAGAAATTAGAAGAGACACACAATGGCTAAACATCCAGTCCATTTTTATTCTTTAATACTGCAAAAAATTCAATATTTTAGTGAAATATATGTACAACAATGAGATTTTAATGGCAAATAGGTACAAGTTTTCCAAAAAATTTACATAGAGATGGTTGTACATTGGGATTGTATTATACTCAAGGATGTAATTTATTCCCAGGTTTTAGATTGAGAAACAAATGGTTGTAGTATACTCAAGTTGTGTTATAGACAAGAAAATATGGTAAATGAAGTTAGATTCCTCATTATATTTCAAATATTTTTTGTTTTGTTCTGGAATATTATGTAATTTTTTTCCCCTTTTCATTTCAGGTTCTCTGTAATAAAACATGATTTGTTCCCAGACTTGGCCATGATTTCTTTTCTCTTTGGCCTGAAAATGATCTCTCCCTATTTTAATTGCCAACCTCTTATTTTCCTCCTGAACCAAGACTTCATTTACTGGGATAATGGGAATTGCTAATCTTGGATCTAATGGAAATTTGCTTTTTACCACTATTTGTAAATATTTATGAAAATTTAAAAGAAAACAATTTTCTAAAATAAATTGTAGGTGT